TAGTCTTTTGATGCTCGATTGTGGTTCATTAAATTAAATAATATAAAATTTTTTTGGCAGGTTTACTTTTATATATTTACTATCTTTTGTCAACGACATCTTTATACGCGTTAACAAGGGACATTAATTGAAATTTTAATTGTATACTTTTCTGAGTTATTTTATATGTATAGATAGATACATAAAAGTCTTAGATCATTTTATGTCCTTGTAACATTTTATGTCTACAGCGTAAATTCCGTTTTATTTATGTGCCTTTTCTTTACTCCTATTCAAGAGCATAAAAACGCTAGAAAAAGTTATTTAATAATACAATATAAAGCAGGTAACTGCCCGCTAGAATGCACCCTGGCTGGATTTCCGCACCATCTTTACAATGAAATGACTGGGATCGGTGGGGATTTTTTATTTTCAGAGCGCTCGGCAGCAAGTCATAAAAAGAAAAAAAGGGGAAGGATAAAAAAGTGCTCCCAAAGCAATAAGTATCTGACCCGCGAGAAACAATAAAGCGAGACGGCAAAATAGAAAAATGTTAAATAAAAAATGAAGTCAAAGAACAGAGAAGTATTTCAAGGCCAAGGTGAAAGACCTTTAAGCAATAAAATCCATAATTTCTCTCCTTTGCTGGTGGCTTAAGTGGATGGATATTCTGCCTGAAAGACAGGATAGCTTTCTAGATGGTGGCGGTAAGGAGGGACATCAGCCCAACTGATCATTTTCTATAGCCCCCATCTCCATCCACACGCACCAGATTAATTGCGAACACAGTCATCAATAGGTATTTCATCACATTTTGTTTCCTTTGGTGTCGCTTTTGTTAAGTTTGACAGTTGATTTTCTTTGGATGTTCATTTTCAGGAATTCACAAATGATTTTATTATTCAAAAGATTACAAAAATCAGATTCTGAGACTTTATAGTCTCTCTTCTTTTCGAACAACTAAAGCTTTTAAAAAATTCTAATGTTGGTACTTGAAGTACCCTTTTGTTACGATAACTAAAAACGACTTTCGAGCACGCTATGCCAATTCTTTAAATTGGCTTACAACTTCAAACTGAATATTATTTGAGGCATTAATTGACATGTGCACTCAGACTTTTTTCTTACATGTTATCACGCATTTCAAATCACAAGAGTTCAAGAAATTGTTACAGAATCATTTCAAGCGAATATAACTGCAGGAATATAAACTTAAATTTCAGCAACTCAGTTTTACAATTGGTACCACAAAATTAACTAAACATTTTGAAGGAACTGGAGGAAAACTATTGAGCATTCAATTGGGAATTTGCTATAAATGAAGATGTAAAAATAATTACGGTGTATATTATGCTATTAAATTAATTTAAATTTCTCAAAAAACAGGCATGATTTTTTGCATCTTAGGCCATGAATTATTCCAAATCTAGTAATGAGCAAACACAATTTTTAGAGCGAAAGTTAGTGAATTTAATAAATCATGGACTGATAGTTTTCTTTTTAACATTCAAAATCTAGTTTTTAAATCGGAAATTTTCTTCTGTAGGAGTTAAAAGTATTAATTTTTAGAAGATTAAGAAAAAAGGTATTTTTAATTGTTTACTGAGCAATAACTAATTATTCTATCAGAGGGTTCATTGTTAATTTGCGCTATTTGTCGTCTTAGGTAGTCCGATGAGCCAGTTTCTGTAGCATCTAGTATGTTCAAGCGTGTTGTGTACTATGTTCTGAATTAATTTAACTCTAAATCAGAGAAACGTTTTCTTTTAGTCTACTTAAAAAATTACATAAGCATAGAAAATTAAAAAGGAATTATAATTAATTAGAAATTAAAAGTCCACATCAAAGGCGTACTTCTGATAAATGTACATGTTGTCATAGCTTAATAATGTAACTTATAAAGTTCTAATTAATTTACGTGTTTTTGGCTACTAGAACCTTAAGGAAGTGTTTAGCGACTATTTGCTGATCTCTTTACAACTATGAAATATAAGGGTTAAATCACTCAAGGATTAATCACAAAGAAGGGTTAAATAACCTTTTCATTCACTCAAAGAAATGCTAACAGATTGCTCCTCTCTAGCTTACAGGAAAGCCTTCACTTGGGCTTTAACGTAAGATAGAAAATAAGAAACTAAACCAATTCTAACTAGCTAAACTTTAGCCGAAGCTGTACAGAGATAACTTAGCGAGTTGGCCCGTAATCAAACCTCACCGGCGAATACCAACAGGCACATTACGGCCGTATGTAGTAAGATAAGACTTAAAGCAACGACGTGGTCGGAAAGCAGAACATGCTGTACTGATAACTTCTTAGCTCTTCTACTGGAAAGATTGAACTTCCCGTTAAATTCTTGCTCTACTTCATAAAATGCGATATTCAAATCTCATTCTGGCAGGGAGTTGTAGGTGGAAAACAAGAATTTAAAGGGAAGAGTTTCAAAATTAAAAAATAACTATTGAAAATTAAAATAATCCTTAAAAACTAATTTTTAATTAATATTAAAGTGAAATATACCGATTGCATTACGAGCCATTTAATAGAAGTTTTAAAATAAGCTCATTGAGTTATGAGCTGTGCATTACTTGATTCCGGCAGAATCAGAGTTTGAAAAGATAAACAGATTAAATTCACTTTCTATAAAACAGTTCAGCAATTAACAAAATATTATTTAATTTAAAGATAAGAAATAATTTGTTTATACGGAAGACAAGATTCTTGAACAGTAAATGTAAAGTTGTGTTCTTATATTCCTTCTTCTAGTCATTCATCTTGCGTGTATATTTATCTATATTGAAACAAATGCCAGAGCGTAAAATTTTAAGACAATCATTTGTTTTATAAAATCTGAAGTTTCATATTCTGAATTATTCCTTTACTTTAAATGAGTGTAATGACACTCAATATACAGTATTATCCGTAATTCCATGAAATATTTCTAGAATTCATGACAAATAAGCTACGCAAGTGATACGAAATTTTACTATACTGAAATGTAGGCAAACTCATCATCTTAAACATATTTTATAAATGCTTAATGTGTCCATTTATCTTTACACGAGAGCCATCTATACGATAATGTCTTTCCAACATATTACAATCAACCAGAACCCCAACAGTGATGATGCAGTTGCGAAGAGCCTGAAGATCAGCAGAGAAAGGAATCGCAAAGACAGTATCCTTAACAAGCCCTCCCCCTCCTACACACAAAGAAATGCTACACCTCTCGACAGATAGCTGCGCTCAGAGGTAAATCCGTCATGGAATTTCACGTACGGCGCTGTAATTCAAAAAAGAAATGACAATTGACTGACTGAGAATCATATTGTTATCGTGGGACCTCCATTTGCCAAATAAAAACGGCAAAATGAGTTCAAAAGTTTCACTAAAAAAAAAAAAAAAAAAACTTGGAGAACAGCTTTTATTTAGCGGAGTATGAAATAAATCGTATAGCTTATTTGAAGTCTTTAAGCGTTTAAAAACAGAACTAGGAATAATTCTGAAAATACATTAGGACAAAAGCTTTTGCGGTTGATTTTTATTTAAAGACTATACCTTGTCATATCTGTCGTGCCAATCTAGATCCATTCTAATCACGATACTTCGATGTAACTTGGTATGCAGTCTATTTCAGATTACTGGGAAGAAATTTCAGCAGCAGAAGAAAACAATTTTGATTTTCCTTACCAGATAAAAATGGGGCTTTAGAAAGCAACAAACACAAGTTAAAAAGTGCAAATTTTATTTCTTTTACAACAGTATATAGTATGGTAGCCTTCTACATGAATGGAAGCATAAGAAAGAATGAAAATTTATAAAATCGATAGAAGGGTACAGCGCAAACATATCAGACTATTGAGGACAAACAACAATTTAGAAGATTTCACGAGGTACATCAGCGACCGCTCTATTACTCTTACTTTCCGCTCAGACGAATTTTGTACATTCTGTCGATAAACAGTTTCTTTCAGGACCCCGCACGGCCTGTAATCACATAGGTTCGAATCCGAAAAACGAGGAAGTTTCTTGAAATGCGTTTATACTCGAATTTTATTCAGTAGTGTGTTTTTTCTAATTTGCATAACATTTCTGTTGATGGCGAAAAGAGCAGAACTTTCTTCCGTTTTTGCAACTCTCTTCTTAGTGATCAATCTGCATACCAATCGACTTACATTAATTAGAATGGGTGGGTCAGAAAGGGCTCTGAATAGGAAGATGCTAAGTTAAAATGGCACGCCGAACAAGAGTTATGGGAGAAGTTGAACAACAAATTCTTGTTGTGTATATCTCCAATAATAGGCAGATATATAAAGTCACCCTCCCAAGTACGGGCCGAACCCGATGCTGCTTGACCTCGATAATCGAACGAGAACGAGTACTATTAGCATGGTATGGCCGTTAGTTTATGGTGTAACGGGGAGAATACTCAGCGCGTATTCGAGAGGTCCAGGTTCGAGTCCCGGGGGGGGCATTGCTCATTTTTCATGTCTCCTGCTTAAACAAAAAGACTACAGTGACGCCCGAACTAAAAAAGTAGTGGATGATGATTCTTCACCACCAGGATTTGGCGACTAGGTCCTCTCATTTCCAGTCGTCCTTTAAAAGAGGGAGTATATAAGGTATTCTCTCCTTCCTTTTAGCATGCCTTCGTGGTGTAGCGGTGAGCACACCCGACGCGTATTCGATAGGTTCGTGTTTCGAGTCCCGCAGAAGGCATGGCTCATTTTTCATGTTTCTCGCTTCAAAAAAAAAAAAAAAAAAAAAAAAACTAATGACTTTACAAGTTATAACCACTTGTCAGCATGAAACTACATATTTACATTTGAAGAAAGAAAGAATATATGCAATTTATGCGATAAGCACGCTCTAGTATTTTGTCTATGGAAACTTATTATACGATCAAAAATATGCATATTCCCAGTTAGTAGTGCATTTAGAGCTATTGTTACAATTATTAAGATTTAAAAGATGTTTAATTAAGATTTAACATTTAGCTAACCTTTATTTGTCCTTTTTGTAGCTCCTATGCAAGACGCATTGGGAAGACGGGCGAGAGAAAAAGGTAAGCAGCGTTTCTAATTCATTTAAAATGCGATTCATGAGATGAGAATTTCTGAAATACTAAAATTTCTTTATACTATTTCCAGGATGTTACTACCTAAGTGATCATTATGACAACGGCGAGAGGATTGTTACTAATGAACCGTGTCTCAACTGCACGTGTCTCAATAGCATGCTAATGTGTTACTTAAGAATTTGCCCGTTCATCAAGCCTGTGGGTGAAGAGTGTATCATTGAAAGAGACGAAGGAGACTGTTGTCCAAAAATCTGGTGTCCAGAAGGTAACAATTTTTATAATCATATACCAAACAGTATATATCACAAATATAAGAGTAGCTTTGAATATCAGACATTTATATTTTTTAATGGTTGTAAAAGTGTACAGGAAATTTCTAATGAATTTAAGAAGTGAGTTTTTAGTTACCGATATCAAAGAGATCTAGCGCTTTTAACTTGGCAGTATTTAGCTTCAGAATGTCATTCATTTAGAAAAGCGATGCTCTGTGTATAACTAGGGTATTAAACTCAGTGTAAAACTCTGTGTATAACTAGGGTATTAAATATAAAACTTCTATATACGAATGTCTTTTATATGAATATAAATTCTGAAAATAAGTGTAATTTGCTCTTACTGTTATTTTTATACTGTTACTGATAAATATCATAAATTTGAAACATTCTTACATTTGTATTTTTAGTAATAAATGAGAAGAAATGTGATGACCCTAGCCATGATGAGAAGCATAACCAGCACCCAGGTAAATGTTTAATAGCAAATTTTTAAACTTGTGTAACTATAATATTTTATTCACAGAAATGGTGTTATGTTTCTGATAATAATACCAATTTAACTATCATTTATTATTGAGGGTAATGAAGAACAAATCTCAACTTAAAAATTTTTTTGAATTTAATAGTTGAAAATAATTTGCTTCTTTGCGTACCACCTATTTTTCTCTTGCGTACCACCGGTTGAGAACCCCTGAGTTAAAGCGTTTACCTGAAGTAAATCGTCATTCTCCGAGCGAATTTCGAGCTATATGTATCGCTATACGAATGTAGGGCATGCATTTTATATATGGGTTGCGGTTAAAACGGACTAACTACTCAAAAAAAGGACAGAGAATGATATCCGAATACCTGCTTTGAACAACTGCTTCATAGATAAGATACACATCAGCACGCTCTGTGTTCACGTAGCGATGCATATTACTCAAAGTCGCCCTGAGAATGAAGATTTACGCTAGAAAAATGCTTTCATCTACTTTTATAATTATGCTTTATGCTTTTATCTACAGCAGAATGCTTTTATCAGATATTTATCTACTGCTCAACAGCGGCTTGTACTACGTCAACGTAAATATCCTGTTATAAAATCATCTTATTTCCGTCCCTTCTACCTGCTTTTACATTTGTCCTAGATATTTTAAATATGTTTGTAGTGTAAGGAATGATAGCATCTCCTCGTGCGTGCTCTTGTGATTTAAATAGTTAGCATGCCCATGTAGCAGCTAGAAGATCTGTGGTTCGAATCCTGACCAGGAACAGTTCCTTTTTGGAATTTCCTACTCCAAAACTCCGAATAATTATACAACAGCATTTTGTGAGCGATTTGCTGGCGATACACGTTCCAACGTTTATTTAGTTTTTATTACTCTGAAAATTCCATTCGTAATTGCATGAAATTAGAACGTATACCAGAAGAAACTGCTGCACTTTTAACAGAACTTTCTAAAGACGAAGTATCTTGATCAGATATAGATTTTTATAATACTATTTTTTTTCTTAAACCTGATTCTGATTATAAATCAAAATTTACGCTGTTTCTTGTAATGCTAAAATAGTTACATTTCTTGACGGCGCAACTGAAAATAATTTTATGAAATTCTCTCTATGGAGATGTTTGCTACAAAATGTATTGCAATAAACTTGTGTTAAACGAAGACATGCTCAGCTAAACTTGAGTATTATGATAGTTTTGTTTCAATTTCCAGAAGAAATGAGCTCTGAATCATTTGAAAATTTGTGTAAAATCAGAGCCAGACTGAAAGGAGATAAATGGTAAATGAACTTCAGATTTTTTCCTTGAATGTTTAACCATTGAGTAGTAGCTTGAGTCAAAGGTAACGAAATCAATCGTTCGGATTTTATGTTTCGAATTTTTAAAGCCTACATTTATTTCTCGAAATGAATTTCTTCGGAATTTACTAAAATTCTACCATTCTTGAGTTGAAATCCTGTCTTTAGCTTTTTTTCTTCTATTTTTGCCATAAAAACACGGGCAAACCAAATTTTTGTCACTCAGTATATGAGCACGGAATTGTAAAATTAAATTTACTTTTGAGAAGATAGTTGTAAGGTGCAATAAAATGCTCACCCAAGCAATATTCTGTTAAGGCAGGGAAAAATCCCAAAGCGAGCCATGGAGCTCCGAGAGAAAACATGAAACGCTTTTAAATTCCTTGTGCCACTTTTTTTTTATTCCTTGTGCCACTTTTTTTTTATTCCTTGTGCCCCTTTTTTTATTCCTTGTGCCACTGCCAACCAGCGGCCTAACGGTAAAGTCCCTGAACACTGGTAGTTAGGTTGTTAGGTTCGAATCCTGCGAACGTTTGGTTGCATGAACGTTTTCGTGGTTTTCCCCATATGTATACGAGCCAATTTCCCTTAGAAAGTGCTCCACGAATGCATTCCTCCCCTTAGGCAGAAAACCCTCGAGGCTTTGCCGTAATCACATAAACCCAAACCCTCCTGCCACTAAAAATATAATGAATAAAATAAAATAAAATTTAATTTTTTTTAAAAGGCTGATCTTTCAAGGCCGCAAATTAATCGGGTTCGTAATTCTAAGCGAATGCGCTGTCTGCATAGTTGTCTTTTTAAGTTTTCTCAATGAGTAAAGTGGTTACGTGCCAGTTTCCCTTAGAATGTCTTCCATGAAGGCATCCATCCCTTTGGTTAGGTAGTCTTCGTGTGCTTTACCATATTCAAATAGTTTAATCTCATATTTACCATATTTAAATAATTTAGCCTCATATTCACCATATTCAAATAATTTAACCTAACACCTGTGCCCCTAAGAAATCTAAATAAACCAATCACTTATGTGTCACTTATAAGAAAAATTTACTGACTTCTCATAAATAAAGTACTCTGAAATTAGTTTAATACAGTATTAAAAAAATAGAAACAAATATTTTATAATTCCTTTAAAATTGAGTACCATTCTTCAGTCAATCAAACTGAAATGCTGCCAGGATTCTTTAACATAGAACATTAGCCGCTCTCTGCCTTTTAAATTGGGGAAATTTATCACATTAATGCACACTAGACAAAACAATGACAGGAAAGGGGGGTAAAGATAAGGATATCATCTCATTTTAAATATCATGAATAATAAAAGTGGGATTATGTTGTGTATTCGTCATAAAATAAAGATTTTCACAAATATAAAGAACTACTTAAATCGAACAAGTACGAAAGATCTGTGAAAATATAGGCATCCCAGGGTTCTATAGCTCAGTCCTAAAGGTGGCAATGCATGTATGTTCAAATATCATATGTATAGTTGTAAAACGAACACGCCCCTAAAAAGTGTTATGCATAGTAATTAGCAACAAAGATCAGCGTAACATGGGTAAATTTGCAGTGTTATAGTTTGAAAGGTTAATTCTTCAAGAGCTTCAACCATTAATTCTAACTTTTCTTCAACCGCGTTAAAAAAAAAAAATGATGCGTCGAATGTTCTGAACTGTTCATTAACTTTATACTTCTCCAGATATGATCAATAATTAAAATGTATATTCTTGTTAATAGATGGCTGCACCAGCTCAGAAACAGCTTTTAATTATTCTTTTTAATGTTCCTTGATCTGTTCAGAGATTTCGTTGCAAAAGATAAATAGATGCACAGTTCCGGGGCATAGTTATTTCTTGATAACAGTTATTAGAAATGAAAATTTAAATCTAGCTTAAGGAAATTTTGAAAGAGTTATAATTTAAAATTCTCGTTAAAAATTGGTACAAATGAATTAATTGTGTCAGATATTTATTTAACTTATTATATGACAAAATTACGCTCCTTTTTGCTAATCTCGGCAAAGCCTGTGATCAATTTCCTCTAATTTTGCTTATATTACGAGTAGCTAACCAGTCTGCCAGGAAGATCAGCAAACATCGATAACATATTAATTAATGCATTTAAACCAAGTAGGAAAAAGAACACTACACCTGAATCCTTGCTTCGCAATGGCTCTTGAATAACGCACTGGATCAAAAACATTTTACGCAAAAGAAAATTTGTCTCCACGAACGTGATTGGGATGTATGGGTGACTTCAACCAACGACATACGTAGAGGGCGCTAACTTTCAATCTGAGAGACGCCAAACGTTTAGTTTCCGGAAGGGAGACCTAGAGAGAGACTATAGAAAGGAAAAGGCTCATAGGAGCCGCTAAAGTGAAACCGAAATTAACTCGTATTAATAAATGCACGTATTTCAGTTATTATTAGTGTAGTTTTAGTGGTCTAGTGTTTAGTTTTGTGTGTGTAATAAACATTTAAAAATGCGAAGAAGGGTGGATCATTTCTCTATGAGGCACATGAAGACGCATGACATTACAGAGATGAACCTACGTGTGTTCACCTTCGAAACTGATACAATGTTAATCAAAATCTACGCTAAGCCTAAGGTTATTTTATTGTTTAGTTTTAAACTTTTTACAAGTACTTAAATATGAGAAGAAGGAATTCTATAATTAGGATCGTTTTAATAGCCACGTGACACTTAATGAGATTTATATCAAAGACATGTTTAACGAAATTTATATCAAAAACATGTTTAACGAGATTTATATCAAAGACATGGATTCTTATGTAATTATCTAAGACAGCAATCTTAATTTTACGGACCGCACGTCGCATGCGGCCAGCGAATAAATTTTAACTATGTAATTCGTTGCAAATATTGTGCTTATAGTTTTAGAGAGATAAAGATACCGACTGAGCTAATGTTCGCAACTGCGAAGCGAATGAAGGAAAAAAGATAGAATGAATTGAATCAAATTGAACACAGTTCGCCGAGATTTGTGATGTATCCGGCTTCATAAATTGATGCTTTAAAGGCGTTAAAGTAGAACCAATGCAAATTACTTTCAGCTACTAGTCTTTAGACTTCAGGTTAAAAAATAAACATAAATTTGAAATTTTTCTTTTGTGTTATTACTATTGTTTATGAATGTTTTGAAGTGAAATATATGATTTATTTAATTTTATTTTTCATTTTGATAAAAATGTTTTTAAATTTTGCTAAAAAAATATTCTGACCTTTCAGCTATTTTCAGACAGAGAATTCGCCCCCCTCCCGGCGCAATTTAAGTTTCAGACCACTGACCTAAGAAATAAAATTATGCTACATCAAATTTAATTTATATGCTCACTACATAGCATAAATTTAATTTTCGGTGATATTATTTATTGAAGATGTCTGTGAAGGAAAATTAATTTTGAGATTTAACTTCCTCTGATACTGTTTCATAGTCCAGATCTTATTATCATTATGTACTGAATACATTTTGTATTCTTTTACCATTCTTTAATCAATAAGTTTTTATTAGGATGCTATTTGAATGATAAATATTATCCTGATGGAGCACAGTTACCCCGGGATCCAAAAAGACCATGCGAAGTATGTTACTGCATTAGAAATAGTACAGCATGTGTAATGCAAGAATGTGAACTCAAAGTAGAAGGTTGTTCGCCTGTTTACAAAGAGGGTCAGTGCTGTCCTTGCCGGTATAATTGCAGTAAGTTGCTCGCTTTTAATTTATTCTTGGGCTTCTGTTTGATTTTATATTATAGGAAAATAAATAACATTTTTCTCTTTTTCAATTTATTTATTCAGCTTATGAAGAATCAACCACAGCTCCTCCTGGTGTAACGCTGCAGGAACTAGCAGGTAAAATTAAATAATTTGGAAATAAATTATGTAATAAATGTGTAAAGTGTTCCATGATAATAGTTTTTAAAGAAGAATGTTCCAAGTCAAATATTCAGAGTGGGTAGAAATATTTTAAGATTTCTCTTTCCGCTGAAAAGGGAAACCTTTATCACTCTCGACACTTAAAACAGTTTTCTCAGCAGAAGTTAATGCGCTGAATTTAAATTAATAAGTAATAGTATTTCGAAGCTTTTGTTTTATCTTATAAGCGCCAGGTACATTTATTATAAACTTGTTGCTTGTTATAACTCATTACTGTTTAATTTCTTATACTTTTTTAATTACAGAATTAATTAAATTTTAAAGTATATCACATATAAGTCGGGATGGATTAAGCAGATTGCAGTTTCACTGCCGAAGGAGACATAGGTTACCATCACGTTCATAGTGTATTTTGACTCGCATAATATAGTTAGCATCATGCATTAGGTGACCAAGTAACCTATTTAGGTGACTGAGCATCGCATTATCGCTGTTTAAATTTATTTCAAGAATATTTTATAGTTTCAATAACTATGTTGCTATAGTTTCAGAACTATTATTCTACAGTTTCTTATTGAGGTACGTTAAGCAAAAGGTGTTTTAAGCACGTTAACGGCACTTCAATCGAACTGAAAAAACTCACTGGAACTGAAAAGGCTATTAACAATATATCTGATAATATTGTTGCGTGCGTAGGGGTTCGTAATGGATTGAATGCACACAGAACCGATGATAGCTTGAAAAAAATTATTTTCCCAAAAGAAACACTTGACAGTTCTGGAACTTTCCCCAAAAGCACTCTTACAGCTCTTCGCAGAATCACAGACGCAATCAGTAGTTACACTTCAATCTAAGAACGTTAAACACAAAGCAACGCAAAATGTATATAAAATACGAATATCTCAATACTCCGAAATCAGCTCTGAACTAACAACTAAGAAACTGATGCTGTCTCCGGTTTGTATAGTTTTCTCCCGACTGCCGAGAAATCTCTAGTACCTTCACTTCTCAAAATTATTGTAAGGTATATGAAGGCCGAATACGGTTACAGTTACATATAAGGATCAATTACCAATTAACCCTTTCCGGCACGCTACCTTTTAAAGTTGGAATTTTTATGAAAAAAAAAAGGTAGGCAGTCTAATTAGGTCTAGAGGAGTACGCATGTAAAATTTTGTGAAGGTGGCACTTATCGTTTTAATTCTGTGGGTGTGCCCAAAGTGGCACACTGATTGAATAGAGCTTCGAAACGAGTGCTGAAACGAGCATTGTTGTCAATGAGCTGACCGATGAGATGCGAAGAAATAAAGAATACAGACAGTCAGTTGTCCTAGATTATCGGTGAGCCCAGTCTGGGCACACCTAGGTTTCGTCGTTTGATTTTAGGCAGGATTTCAAGGTAAAATTTAAAACTAATATAGAATAAGGAGATTATCATACAGCCAAAAAATAACATAGAAATTTCTTTTCAAACAATTCCTTTTATACCCTAAAAAAAAAAAAAAAAAAAAAAAAAAAAAAAAAAAAAAAAAAATCTGGAATATTTCTTTGAAAAATGAGCGTCTTAAAAACTAAACATGGCTAAAATATATGGACTGGTTTGTGTTGAGCTGCCATCTACTATAAATAAAGAAGGTTCAGAGTAACCTATAAATCCTTTTTCATTCAATTTTTCGGTGCGTACAGAAGGAAATTTTTAGGTGTGTCCAGACCGGACACACTGTGCCGCAAAGGGTTAATCAATATTGGATCAATACCAGTTACAGTTATATAGGGACCGGACTAAAATGTCGTCAAATGATCGCCATGTTTGGCAGTTTGGCGCTCTTGCTAAGTTTGGTGGAAAAAATTTAGTCACCACCAGCTTGGCGATTTACTTCAATGTTGAGTAGACTCGTCTGTGTAATCTTACTTTTTCGGCAAAGCATAGTCTCCTTCAAGCATTTAGTGTCACGTTACACAAAAAATACTACAGTTTTCCATATAATTTCACTAAAATTATTTACATATATATGAAATCCTTAGCAATATCGTATGGCGTGTACTGACATTCCTCAGAATACTATTACGTTCAGTGGAGCCCTTATTTAACAAGGGCCGTATTTGAGCAGTGGCTGATAATTGGCAATGTTGTAACTGTTATTTGACGTGTTGAATAATAAATAAAAATCAGTTGTTCGCTTATGGTAAGATTTTACTAGTATCTCATCGCTACAGCGCCCTCTACGACAGCATGTAATTTATAGGGTAATAAAATCGTTTGTTTAAAATCGTTTATTAAATGAAAACTTAAGAATGATAATTTAGAAACTGCTTACTCAATGACATAGATTGTTTCCTAATAAAAGTAATCGATTAAGGAAATACTCAAAAACTTGGGCAAAGTATGTACGCTGTCATTCGTTTTCCATATCGCTCAGTAAATAAGTATATGGCGAATTTAAGAAGCTGTTACAGTTTTCTGAATATTTTAGTTCAGTACCTAAAAATTAGACGAAATTCTTGGCAATTACTAAATTTTGAAACTAATTTTTTGCTTTTATTTCCGTAAACAGAAGGCTGCAATCTTCCTGATGGCACTTTTGTAGAAGATGGGGCAGCTGTTAATTCTACTAATCCTTGCGAACATTGCTACTGCATGAGAAACGAAGTTGTTTGTGCTATACAAGAATGCCAAGCACCTGGCGATGACTGTAAACCTCTTCCACCAAAACCAGATCAGTGTTGTCCAGACAGATATGAGTGTCGTAAGTACAGCATTCCTAATGCTGCTCTTTCACTGTTTCTGCAGTGCTTTCTTATAGTTAATTACCAGTCAACAACATAAGTTTTTTTCTCATATATATGTATATATATATTGTTGATCATAAGTAAATGATGCTTTTAATGATTGTATTAAATCAACTGCATAAGGAAGGAATTAAAAAAACGTTCTATTTTTAAGATTTGCATACCTGTAAGGACCGCTTCAAATTCCCTGTAGTTGAAACCTATCTTTTAAGAGCTAAACCATGAATTTCATTTATAAATGAGAAAATAGACTGAAATACTTAGAATATTTCTTTAGCTTCTAATCCATAGATAGTGTATAAGGTTTCGTCTTCTTTGGTAGCAAAATATATGTATGAAACTTCTAAGATCTTAAGTGAATTATTACTATGTCCTGTAAAGCACCACAAAGAAAGAGAAAGGGTGCAAGGAACCCTTTTATTTAAATCAAATAAAATATTTTAGAGGATTATTTAGCTCAAATAACAGAAGGCATCGGCGCATTGCTCTTGCTTACAGAATAGCCATCATTTATGGCTTAAATCAAAGGTAATGAAATCGGCTTAACTAAATAAATGTAAGTTAGCCCAATGGCTAACACAGTTAACAAAATGCGCAAGTTGGCTCTGACCTAAAGTCAGCATGACAAGCGTGATTGTGGAAATAAAGCAACGTGCAAAATATCTCTCTCAAGAGATTCAAAGTAGCATCGCGGCTTTCAGCAGGCGGAACCCGATCTACCTAAAACCTAAATAATCTAGAAATTTACATTTGGCCGGAAAATGGGGAAAGAGAAGGATAAAAAGGCAAATTAGCATAAAATAGCTGGTTAATGAAACTAAATGAAACGTTATAAGTGTTATGTGTTCTATATAAGTCTCCTATGTTAACTTACCATACTGTTTGGTGCACCTGCACAGAATAACTTAATGCTCCTAACCAAACGATATCTATACCGCCTTTTGACATACACTGAGTCACATTTTTATTAACATTAATGTCAAAAGATGATTTAAGTATACTTAAATTATGTAAATAAATCAAATTTGAGTTTTATCACATTGAATAATATAAATGACGTAACTATTAAAAAATTTAACACGAATAGACCTTCACATAAATGAAAACATTTTATTTTATATTACACTTTCCTTTTATATATAGTACGTGCATGCTTCACTATTTTCAAGACAAAAATGAGTTTCGGAGCTCATTTTTAATGGTAGTAACAATATCAATGTCGTCTAGAATAGTATTAAACAATAGGGAGTACTGTATACCTTAATTCTTAAAACCTATGCATAAGTTAAATAGTCTTCTAAATGTAAGACATAAGAATTTAAAAATTGCATTAATTGGAACTCAGGCAACACATCATAATATAGCATTAGTGTTTTCAGTAACGTTCTAGATAGCATTGCCCAAATGACATAAATAGAAGCATTATGCGTTTATTCAATAATATTCTTATGTTATTGTTATTAATATTACTGTAGTATGCTCACTTTCTTTTATTTCCATTTCATTCCAGCCGTATTACAATTGCCGGAAAGCTCAAGTATCCACCCCGAAACATTTTTAAGCTTCACCACTGTTTTCGCATCTTCAGCAGACGTATCAACAGAACTTGCACCAATCAAAAATAGTGGAATCAAAGGATCATCACAAAAAGGCATCGAAGCAGGAAAATATTCTCCAGCATCAAGTGTTAAAGGTGCACCATCAAAAGTATCTTATGATCAAGAAGCCACTACACAGTTGTTAACGGATGACTATGCTCAAACAGATAAACCCAGCTTAGAAATCGTAAATTCGGACAAAGTTGTTTCGAAACCTCAACCAGAGAAAAAGTCTGGAATCAAAGGAGGATCGAAGACTGTATCTTCTACAAGACCACCCCCGCATGAACTAGCGGTTCTTTCTGAATCAGATGATGACTCTGGAGACCAATTTAATGACAGTGAAGAAACTTCATTCACAGTGGAAGAAATTCAAATACCAAGCAAAACCCCTATAGATGACTACTCCGTGGAAGAAATTCAAATAACAAGCAAAACCCCTATAGATGACCACACCGTGGAAGAAATTCAAATAACAAGCAAATCCCCTATAGATGACTACTCCGTTAAACCTTCATCAGGTACGGCAATAAAAGGCTTTGGAGTTCCATCATCAAGTGTTAAAGATGCACCATCAAAAGTATCTTATGATCAGGAAGCCACTACACAGTTGTTAACGGATGACTATGCTCAAACAGATAAATCCAGCTTAGAAATCGTAAATTCGGACAAAGTTGTTTCGAAACCTCAACCAGGGGAAAAGTCTGGAATCAAAGGAGGATCGAAGACTGTATCTTCTACAAGACCACCCCCGCATGAACTAGCGGTTCTTTCTGAATCAGATGATGACTCTGGAGACCAATTTAATGACAGTGAAGAAACTTCATTCACAGTGGAAGAAATTCAAATACCAAGCAAAACCCCTATAGATGACTTCTCCGTGGAAGAAATTCAAATAACAAGCAAAACCCCTATAGATGACTACACCGTGGAAGAAATTCAAATAACAAGCAAATCCCCTATAGATGACTACTCCGTGGAAGAAATTCAAATAACAAGCAAAACCCCTATAGATGACTACTCCGTTAAACCTTTATCAGGTACAGCAATAAAAGGCTTTGGAGTAAAAGGAGGTGTTTCTGAAAAGAATCATTCTGCAACTTCCATATCTGAAGTGTCGCCTGATTCTTCGTCTTCTACAACGGAATTTTACGTGAAAGAATCTACTACACATGTTCCACTGGAAGAGCACATCGAGCGAAATGTGACTGAAATTTCTTCTGAAGTGACAACTCAGACATTACTGGAGAGCAGCATCTTGGATGGAAAGGTTACCTCAAAAAATTTCTCAGAAGAAGAAACATCAAAGCCATCTCTAAAACCTTCAGGCGTAAAAGGAGTTCAGAATGAGGCAATATCTGATCCCGAGAGCAACTTTCATTTGCCATCATTCAAACCTATGGGCGTTAAGGAAGTTCCAGCTAAAGTTGATGATACTCAGAAAAAACCGGCAATAAATCATGTTGGGGTAAAAGGTACTCCTCAGGAGGAGCATCATTTTCGTGGTAAAGGAAGACAACCTATACATGCAGATTCTTTGAGAAGAAGGCCATTCCTTCCAATTGGTGCTATTCCGGGTGAAATACGACAGTCAACAGTTGCGCCTGTCACCAAAGACGGCGTCGAAAAGCTGCCGCCTATCTTATCTGTTTCAGGAGAAGGTACGTGAGAAATATTTTTGTTTATGCTATATCTTGAATATTCAAAGGGAAATCATTATAATATCCTTTAAATAAAAATAAATAAGTAAACATTATGCCAACCCACTCTTGGGATATAAATATTAGAATCCTGGATCCGTTAAATAGTTTGTTAAAATTCGGTGAATATTATAAATTTTTTCAACTCCTAAATAAACGCTTGGCTTAAAAGAAGAGTCCAGTGGATAAACTTCTGTATGAAAATCGGAGTAGGAGTAAACTACACAAGAGAAGGGTTAAAGTACCCTTTATTACATCTTTGAAAATTTACAATGCGTCAACTCGATGCTAACAACTTCGCCTCTGCTTGGGCGGTAACTGAAAATAAAGTAACGAAACTAAACTTTGAAGATATTAACAAACGATAGAACTAGACTACAGGGCTTAGCGAGATCCCGTAACTTAAAACCCTTCGAAGCTAGTGGCAGCAAATAAATGCAATTTAAGCCACTTGAACCAGCAATAAGCAAACGCATCTACGGCATAGGTGGCGACCAGAGCCTAACTCTGCTTTTTCTCTTACCGAAACCCGGGTTTTAAATACTTCCTTCAAAGTAGAAATTTGCATTCTTTCACGCGCGCTACAAAATTTAACTATTCTGGCACTGAAAATTAGGGAAATGAAGGCTTATAGAAAAGTTTTTGAAATTAAACCTTAATTTGTTAGTTAAAAGAAATATAAATCTCTACACACTTTTTTATGGACCCTTTTGCTGACTTTCAGGAAATCCTCTTTTGAATGGAATTATGTTAAATGACAGCAAGAAGAGTTATTGCAATGGCTATAAAAAGCGTGCACTGTACTGAAATCTATATGAACGTGGTAATAAACGTAGCTTATATTTAACCTTTTAACATTTACGGTTAACTATAGATTTAATAGATGTAGTTTCATTTTCTGGCAAGATATCAGATGCATTCTGAGAAATTTGGTTGCAGGAGATATTAAATAGAGTAAAGATAATGATTTTTATTCTTGAAAAATTCTTCATTGTTCTGCCTAGAAATTTTTGGCTGACAGGCCTAAAAATTCAATATTCCTGTCTATTTGGCAGGAATATTTAATTTTTAGGCCTGTCCCGATTCCTGTCCCATTTTTAAATTAAATTATAGTTGATCGTAATTAAAACGAATATTTTCCTTTATGATAGAATTACAAATGCACAGAGACGAAGTACTACTTCTAGAGACTAAAATCACCTTAGGTACATGTGGCATGACATCACATGAAAGACACTTTGTGGCACATGAGTAATATACTGCTATAGACGATTTCACGAATGCATGAACATAAATGCTAATTCAATTGCCTGAAAAATTTTGACGCTGAGACGGGATAGTTGTTAGTGTTGCTGTCTGCTGTACCAAAGAGCCTGAGTTCGAATCCGGGAGACGGCGTAGATGTTTGTAAGAGTATAGTATCTGAGCGGTAAGTGGGCATTGAAAATACACAGCGAGCCGGAATCCTCTCGAGAGGTTGCTGTTAGAGAAAGGAGGGACGGGACAACTTCGAACTGTCCTCCCCCAGAATTTCTTCCTCAAGATTCGATCTGGGGGGAAGATTAGCAGTTAGCAAGCCTCGGCGATGCTTAATATACCTAGATGGATGCACAGACGCCAACCTTGTCTCAACCTGTATTCATCTGTATAGGGCGCCGCCCATTCGGTATAGAAGTCAGCGACACTGACAGTCGTACCGATGGTCCCGGATTCGAATCCCGGAGAAGGCATGTATGTTTGTAAAGCACTATAGTGTTTGGGCCTGTATGTTTGTAAGGCGCTATAGTGTCTGTACGGTAAGGGGGAGCTCGAAATACCAGTCGTCCCGAAAGTTCTTTCGAGAGGCTGATGGCAGAAGAAGAGAGAGGGAGAGGGAACTCTTCTGACCGTTACCCAGTGGTGTTCTTTCTTCCTCAAAACTTCGGTGGAAGTTAAACAATTAGCAAAGCCTGTTAATACCTAAAGATACCATACATTACTGTTAACGCATAGGTGCTGGCCTAGCTTCAATGTGTAGGTGTCTGTACCCTTCCGAGCTGGTCTCTTTCGGCGTTGTACATCGGGACAGGTTGCAGGACAAGAACGAACGTTTCTACGGTTGTTGGCTTCTGTATGGCGGGGGCCATACTGATATTGTCAGGTCCGACCCGCGCTGTGCGTATCATTACACATGTCATTAGATAACTCAGATGTTCACGTATCCAAATTCTGTAAGCTACCTTTCTACTTAATAAGGAGCTGCCACTTGCGATTTGTCTGTATAGGGCAAAACATAAAGCGAAAGATATTATCTGATTCATGCATCATAAATCAGCATTCATGCATCATAATAGGTCGTATGATTTTGGAAAAGAATACTGAAATAGCATACTTTTAGGTTTACTTAGATATTCTTATTTAATAGTGATAGCCGGATTACCTTTTAACTGTAAGGAATGATGGCATTCGTGTCATAATCGATTCTGTTAAGTAGTGATTATTAAAGATAGTCAGCAATTCAAAAGTATGTGGGTTATCTAGGGAGGTTTTTTATTCGGCTGAGTTTTCGTGTTCCTGTGCTAAATAGACTAGTACCTTTACAACTGGTACAACCAACAGTATTAAGAACTTTGAAGAATTTTAATAATTACTTGGTTACAAAAATTTAATTATCTTTATTTTTTTATTTATAGGTATTTGCAAAGTCGGCGATATTGTGTACCAAAATGGTCAGGTTATGAAACCAATAAATGTCTGTAAAAAGGACTGTCGATGCATCGATAGTGTTATACTCTGCTCAGATGTCATTTGTAACGAAACTGAGACAAAAAATGTCTCTAGCTGCAGGATCATTCAGGAAGCAGATGAATGTTGTCCACGTTATGAATGTGGTGAGTATAAAGTTAGAAATACTAATAGATCCGTTATCGTAATTAAAAATAGAATTACTTCATAACTTAAATGTAATAAAGCAGAAAGAAAAGACGTGTCTTGCTAATTATTTGACATGAAAATTAATAATCAAATGTCTGGCGCAAAATTTGTATAAAATAGCGCGTAAATATGGTCATAGAATGCTCGCTATTTTTAAAATAAAACATTATATTAAAACTTGTACATTCAAACTTTATCTGATTATAAATACATTATTTTCTGCGGCGTGTTCAAAGATGTGAACAAAGGAAAAGATTAAAATAGAGAGAAAATAAGTAACAGTTATATTATATCAAGGAGTAGTTAAATATCAAGAAAAGAAACATACCAAATTTTCAAAACAAAATGTAACATACTGGTTTTTGAAAGGGACCGAAAGTAATATTTTGTCTTTTGGTAACGACGGGTAAGAGAGAAATTTTTAAAAATTTACTTTTCATTAAAAATTGCCAAGAGTACGCCTAGTAAAGCTCTTGAATCCCAAAATCACAAAGTTCCGGGAAACCCATGAGAAAGAAGTACTTTCCAAAATACACCCCCCTACACACATACACACCGCTCTATTTCTTGACTCTTTTCTTCCAATCTATAGCCTTAACGGTTTGGACATATTTCAAGGTGCACGCATACGTATTTATTTAAAAAAGTTAGAAAAAATATTGTTGAACGTATAGGCATTGTTCTTCTTGCTGTTGGTTTCAAAAAACTAAGAAAAATCTTAAAACTCTCCGTAGACAAAACCAAAAAGATTAATGGATTTAATAAAATTTGTAGACAAGACGAATTACGTTATCAGTGTTAAAATGCATTTAAAACATTTTATACGAGAAATATTTTTATCGGAAAATTATCTAATAGATTAACGTAATTAATTAATTCCAAGACTACACTGTTTTTAACGATGCGATGCCAGTCACTTCAGTCGGCAGGCAATGTTTCTTTTTTTTTTTTTTTTTTTTTCATTTAAAGCAGGTATAAATTCTATGCTTGCATTTTTCCTCTAGTAGAGCTCAGTGTTGGTGAGAAGTACGATCTTGCAGAAGGAATATTTCTTTTATTGTATTTGCATAAGAAAGTGATTTATGAAGATTAGGGATACCGTCCTCTATATTTTTTATCACTGGCATTTTCCAACACACTGCGACCTGCGCGTCTAGCTAAAAGTATCATTCCAAATACCCAAGCAAACACTATATGGTAACTGTCTGTTCATATATAATACTTTTGTAACAGCATGTGTCTTAGTGTATTCAGCAGGTTCCGTCGATATCGAAAAACGCTTGATAATACTGTAGCTATAAATATGCATGTCTGTAAACAGCACTTACCTCCATCTGTCTTCGATTCATTTCGCATGACTGTGCATCCAAATCCAGCTTCTATCTTGCAACAACTACGTGAGAGTTACGTAAACTGCAAGTAGCTTAGCCCATCATGTGGGAATTATGTAAATTGCTGTTAGCTTAGACTGTAGAGACATTAGATTATTTATTAAAGCAGCAGTGATGAACAATGAACAACGCCTTCGCCGGGAATCGAACCACGGACCTCTGGAATACACGCCCAGCGTGTAGACCACTACACTACGAACGCACGCTAAGAAGATGGGAGAAATACCTTATAAGACAACTAAACATGTGTACATTTAGCACATGCTGATGCAAAACTTTCATGGTAGATGTTACGAGAGAGATATCTTGCTTCGTTTCTAAGTTAATTACCTATCAGTTTTTGCAGGTCCAGGTAAGAGTGAGCGCAACACCAGAAATTCACAATTGATTGTACAACTATAGTCACGCAGCTCTAACTGTGATGTTCCACCCCCAATTTCGAGGGAAAGCTACCGGGGGTCCCATCTCTCTTCCCCTGCCACCAATCTTACAACCTTATTAAATTTTAGAAAAAACTCAACTCTAGACCTTGTTTACCTAAATTTTCTTGATGAGAAAACTATGTTTAAAAATTTTGTTTACAGTCCATTAAATCCCTACAACTAGGGGGAGAAAACCCTCAATATCAGTCATCTGACAACTTCTCAGTCTTTCTGTTGAATCTTGGACTGGCAAAAGTTACTCTACTGTAGTTCATTTATTAAATAATGTACAGAGCATTTTCCTTTAAAATATCAATTTTGTATTTTCTTAATTGGTCTTTAAAGCAAAAAATAACGACCAACTCTAAAATATGTTTTCTTTTAACTTCTATCCAATCATAAAAAGTAAATTTTCATACGATGTACTTGCACAGTTTTCCTTCACTAACTACGTAAAAAAATTTTGGTGAAAATCGCACTAGCTTTAGGTGGTTTACCGCGAAGCATTGACTTATTCATTAATTAATGGAAACCAGTCGCAAGAATATTACTTTTTGCGGAGAAAAATTGCTCCAGTTCATGTAAATACTGTAAGCTGAAGAACTATTAAAATTCCACAGTGACACGCTTTCAAATATAGAATACGTTATTGACTGAAGTGATAGTTAAAATTTTTATTCCTTCATGCTGCATTCAGTAGGTAATAAAGTTATACTAATATTTTATCTGTTTAATTCAGGTTGTCCCACTCGAGAGAGGCTCCGGGAAAAGTGTGATAAAAATCTTACAATAAAAGGAAACGAAACCAAATTTTTACATAACATGCCTTTATGTTTGAGAAATGAAAGTACATTGGAAGAAATGCTGAAAGTGACTTCCTCCTACTTGTATACACAATTCAACACGGTGTTGCATTTTCGTGGATTTTGTTCCTATATTACACGTGGTAGAGTGATGAAGCGTGTTCCCACTTGTCAGGATACGTGAACTAACGGAACACACGTTTATTGAGTAGTGACAACCAGCATGTAGGAACCCTTTCATTCAAAGAAGATGGGTGTCTTTTGTGCGTTATCACAGCGGCGCATTTATAGGCCAATGCTTTTACATTATTGTCAACAGGCACGTTTTCATGATTTTGTGAACCAGTGGAATGATGAGAAGCTGCCACTTGGCTTACCAACAAGATGGGACAACATGCCACACACCTGTAGCGAATATGATCGCAGTGAAATCACTTTTCCCACTTTTCCAGACTTGATCTGTCTTGATTTTTTTCTATGGAGTCGTCTTAAAGGTAATGCGTACAAGCACAAACCACGATTTGCGCATATCGACGATTTGCGTCAGAACATCCATCGTGAAATCCAAGGAATGACGCCCAATACTCTGGCAGCAACATACGCGAACATGCAGTGTCATGTTTAACTGTACCTATAGGCAGGGGAGATCACTTTCAGCACCTTTTCTAATGCACTTTCATTTTTCAAACATAAAGGTTATGTCATGTAGAAATTTGGTTTCGTTTCCTTTTATTACAAGATTTATATCACATTTTTCTCGAGGCCTCTTTCGAGTGGGACACCCTGTGTAATGATACCGGTTCAATTTTCTTACTATTCTTTTAACCTCTTATCTAAAACCAGCAAATAATTGCCTTTGGCAAAGTACAAATATCCGTTAAGTGAAATATATTATTTTAGTCTGCCATCTGCACTTGTTCATCAAGAAGACTTACAAAAAATAAATTAAGTACCTTATTTATTTAAAAAAAGTTAGTAATTCGACCTAACGACACCACAAATAAAAGGTTTAATGATAAACAAAAGAGCTCTACCAACAACACAAACTGCACTGAGATAAACCAGAACAATAAAATCACGCAAAGAAACAAACTTCTGTTCATCACATTATTTGAGCAATTCTTGCATAGAATGGAACTGTATTTATACCAAAAGCAAAAGCATAAAGCGAAAGAGAAGGTAGCAGCATCTGTCCACAGAATAGTAACGAAATGTGAAAAATTAAGTAAATAGCATTTTAAAAACGTTAGCAAGAAGTGGATTGTATTTAAAGTCATTAACTAAACAAGATAAATCTTTGCAAATGTGAAAAGCTTCAAGAAAATCCAACTCACCAACAGAAGAAACGTTTTGTATAATTTTTGCAAACACAAAGTCGAAACTGTAATTAAATTTCGAACTATGATTAGCTATCGAAGATTTGTTTATTTCTTCTTTTCGAACGTAAAATTCGTGTTCTTTGGTGGGGAAACTTTGGTTGGTAACGCATTTTTAGTTTGGCCGATATATCTCAAACTACATTGAGAAGATATGCTATAAATTCTCCGAGAATTAAGGGTTTATGGTAAGCAATAGAGCTAAAATTAGATTCATTAGGGATGATAAGAAGGGTAGGGTATTGTCAGATATAGTTTCAAACGTGAACTGGATGGCTCGAACATACGAATTTATAACAGATAAAATCTGCGAAAAATCTCTATATTACCTTCAAAAAGCGCGAAAGTATCGTCTACATAGTGAATCAGAAAACGAAATGATAGTTTCTCAAATAACTCTTTTTTTTTTTTTTGCTTATTACTTTCTCCTCCCTTAGGCGCTACACGGAAGGGGAAGGATGCCCCATGGAGGTCTTTTTAAGAGAAACTGGCTCGTATCCACGTTACAATTGGGGAAAACCATGAAAACAGCCAAGCAGCCAGCCCGTTAGCCGGAACTCGAACCCCGGACCGAGCTACCAGTGTTCAGCGGCTTTTACCGCTTGGCCGCTAGTGAGCCTTTTCAAATAATTGGATCTTAAAATAACGCATGTAAAGGTCAACAAGTTCAAAACTAAGAGTTACCCATAGTTAATCCTTCAGTTTGACAATAATATTTATTTTGGGAAACAAAGTAGTTTTGACTTAAAGAGATCAGAAAGTTCTTGAAAAATCTAAATTTTTTACTTAAATGCAAACATTTGAATATCATTGCCAAATTTACGCAAATCAAATGCAATCTCAATTCTTCTGTTCATGTTTCGAAAATTATGCTTGAATTCAAATTCTCGCTTCTTTATCACAGTATAAAAATCAAGCACAAACGTCTGTCTATGAATATGAATTATATTACCTTCGTTTAAAAAATGCCTATTCCACTTTAAATGTTTCCTCTTTTGATTATACATCTTGGTATAGAACCGACAACTCTCCAAAGAGATTTAAACCTTCTGCTACTTAAATCATAGCTTTTGTAAAAAGATTTAAATTCTCTAAAATTTCGGAAACACAGAAGGATACAATCTGGCACTTAATTACTAATAAGAGGAATATAAATAGAAAATTGTTGTTTCTAATCTTAACCAAAAGGAAAGGAAGGCCTTACATGAAATTTCTTATAATCTTGACATCATTATTTTCAAAGCTGATAAGGGTGGATGGATCGTTGTTATAGATAAACATACATACATTGATGGAGCCACTAAACTGATAAAAGAAGTTCCATGCAGTTCGATTCTTAAGGATCCTTCTACTTCTAAGCTCACGAAATTTAAAACAACTGTTAAATCTTTTCATCTACTCGTAACTCAGTTTAAAAAATCACTCATTCCACCTATTGCTTACTGTGCTAGTTTTTATGCTCTGCCAAAAGTCAACAAAATTGGAATTCCTTTTTGACCTATAGTTTTTATACTAGGGACAGCATTATAGCCTTTGGTAAAATATTTATTTTCTAGATGTTTCTCCTTTATTTTCTAACAATATCTACACTGTAAAAAATTGATTTTGAAGTCGTCGATAAACTTAAATGTAGTTTTCTCCTGCACTGAATTATTATTTTTTTTTTATATTAAATCACTGTTTACTAATGTTCCCAGTCTTAGGAACACTAAAATGCCTTGAAACTAAGCTTCGAGATTTCCATTTCACACACACTGAAATTAAAGGGTTAATTTCCCTTATTAAAGTCGCTGAGTCAAAACCACTTTGTTTTCAAAACTAAATATTTGAGAAACTTATTTCGTCTCTAGATTCGCTAAGTAGACGACGCTTTCACTTTTTAATGGTAGTAAAGAAGATTTTTTCCAGATTTTATCTCTTATATATTCGATTGACCCAGCTATCCAATTCATTTTTTGAAACTAAAAATCCCTTCCTTGATCCTCCTCATTCAGCACTACTGTTTACTGTAAACCCTTTTTTTGTTTGTTTTCCTCCGCATGCAAAATCATGTAAGCCAAAACAAAAAATGTCTTCTCTTTACACTGGTCATCATAATTAAAGGATAATGAGAAAAAATACTCTCACTTAGTTAATGCTGCAATCAATGGCCATTGCTGTAATTATTTATGTTAATTAAATACAATTGAACCCAAAATTGCACTTCCGGGCATACGTTATCACCTGAAATATGCAAATCCGGTGATTGACAATGTGGCGCGTAGTGGATGCATACTGAAATTCTGGTCTGTAGTGTTGTTTAAAGTGAATGTGGTTTCTGAGAGGGATCAATATTCAGTAGTTTGGCTCAAGGGTATTATTTAGAAGGTAAAATGTGGCGAAAGAATCCGCGAAGCGACTACAAAAGATTCGGTTTAGATCTTCAAACTGCCACAAGAACTCGAATTAACCGTTCTACTGCTGCCCGAAAGCTTAACGAAGTTGGACTGTATACGAGAAAATTGCTTGTTTTCTGACGAGTCCAAATATAATTTGAACGGTGATTCTAGACGTGTTTTGTTCTAGAGAGAGAAAGGAATACGCCACTTGCCTTATTTGCCCGCGAAATATCCTGTTTCTGCGACTCATGCTTAATGGTTTGGGAAGTAATCATGACAAGCGGTCGCTTCGAGCTGCATACCTTTCAAGAAGGTTCTATAACCTTTCGGAGATATGTGGACGAAGTATTGGAATTCCAATTTAAGGATCTTGTTGGCCCAGAGATTTTGCTAGTGGATGACAATGCTTGGCCTTATCGAACATATGTGGTGTCAGAATACTTGCAAACAGAAGATATCACTCGAATGGATTGGCCACCTTATTCACGCGACTTGAACCCGGTTAGCATGTGAGTGATGCCTGCCTTAGGGCGGCGAATTTCAGTGCGCCAAATTCCTTCCCGTACCCTCCTGGAGCTGAAAAGGGCACTTTCAGAAGAGTGGCACGCAATTCCACAGCCCTTGATCAAAACTTCTATGAAATCAAAATGTGAGGTATGCATATCTGTCCGAGGTTACCATACACCATATTAAAGAAAAACATTATCCATTATTTTCCAGTATCCATAAATTTGGTTTTAATTTTAATATTTTGCGAATAATCAACTACCGAACATTTTGTTATCTAATGCTTTTGTTAACAAAAGCTAATTTATATTAACTAATGATTTTGTACCAATTTCTAATAATAATTTTTCATTAAGTCTTAAGTTTTATTTCTGACTTCTGACTAATTCTAATGACCAGTGTTCTAGTATGTATTTCGTGCTCTCAAAGTTTCCACCTCAGAATCTTTACTTTCTCCTTCCTTGGTTATTGGTAAAGCCTTTTAAAAAAAGATTTCCATCTTGCCATTAAAGAAGACATTCCGCTATTAGAAACAGCATTAATAAATTTGTCGTTCTTCCATTTCATTCATTCTATCATTTAGAAAATTGAACTGATTCTCCAGAAATTTAGTTTTCAAGTCATTTTCTCACGTATCAGTAAAATCCATCGTTAGATTCTTAACGTTTCCATTTCTAACTTTAATTCTTGGGAAGTGTATTGCATAGCTTGTCAATCTGGTTTGAGATATATCTAAAAAACTAAAAGGTCATTAATGCTTCGCATGAAGAAACACAAATGTTATGTCCGAAAAGACGAAATAAACAAATCTTTCATAACTAATCATTGTTTAAAATTTAAACGTAATTTTCACTTAAGTTAACTGAAAAATTAATATCCACTTAATTTCACTGCAAAAACTGTGCAAAAATCTTATTCTATTTGTGAACTGGATTTCCGTGAAATTTTATACATTCGCACAGATTTATCCTGTTTATTTAAAGCCTTTAACACCAATCCAGTTCTTCCTAACGTTCCCTAAATTGCTATTGAATTAATTTTTTAGGTTTCGTTACTATTTCTCGGGACAGATGGCGCTACCTTTTCTTTTGTTCAAATTTTTGCTTTTGGTGTCAATATATTTCTAGACTTTGTAGAATTTCTTTTCTCCTGATGATAAGGGACCTGCACCTGTGTCTCTGCAAATCAGTAGAGCCTTGGTGTTAAAATATACGCTGAACAAAAGTTTGTTACTTTCCCTAATTTTATATTTTATTTTGGCGTGTTTTTCTTCTTTCTTGAAACCAGAACAAGTTGAAAGAAACTGTGAAAAAATGTTGTATTACACAAGAATACTTTCAGTTGTATCTTATACTGCTAAATGGTACAGTATTAATTTTGTGAACATTTTCAACATTTTATGTAATCATAAGTTAACAAAATTTAATTTATCTTGCTGGATGAACAGTAGCGTGTTAATTTTATGAACAGCTTTGAACATTTTTTCAGTCATAAATTAACAAAATTTGATTTTAAAGTCGTGATCAATTCTTTTTTTCTAATGTGCGTAGTTTTCACTAGATTTAATCTATATATATAGTTCTCAAAATAACTGTATGAAAAAGAAATGTATTTTCTCTGATGTCTTCTGTTCAGCACATTATTTTAAAGTAAGATATATTGCTACTTTTCATTGAGCTTGAAAAATTCAACAAAATAAATTATCACTTTCAAAACATATATCATGTCTTGCGTAAAATAATGAATGCAATGTTTTTTTTTTTTTTTATTTACAGATAATTTTGGTTCGACAGATAACATTAGTCTGTCAGTTACTACCGTAAACCAGACGCAAGATAAAGAAGTTATTTTTGATGGTCTTCTCTTCGGAAACAAAACCTCACCTATTGACAGTGATGAAGAAATACTTGAAAGAAATTTAACTACTACCAGCTTCTGGCAAAGTACTTTGGATCTAATAACGTCTACAATACCAGACAAATTATTCGGTTTTACTAAGGTAGTTACTGATCAACCTCAAAATGTATCAGAAACCGATATTTTGGAATTCATTTCGCCTACCACTGCTCACCCTCAAAAGAGCAACCAAACCGTTTCAGAGACTGCTATTACAGAAATTCCAAATACATCTGAGGAAATTTTAGCAACAGGTGATAAAACGGTTTTACATATTAACACTGAAGAAGCCTTCGAAACATCTTCTTGGAGCCCAGAATCATCAACACACGCCTTAGTAGAAGATGAAACAACTCTGACTGACAGCCCGAAAGAAAGTTCCGAGAATTCTTCTTTGATATCAGAAGAATCGGGAGACACGTCAGCAGGAAGCACTCTCTCTGTAAATATCAGTGTTGAAGAAGTTACGCAACCTTCCACTTCATTCACGGAAATACAGACAGAGACGATAAACGGAGACTTTACTCAAAGTATTAGTATTGACGAGTCTTCCTCTGTAACGGAACTATCAAAAGATATATTAACAGAGGAAAAACAGAAACTAACTCCAAACATCAGTATAGATGAAATTTCGCAAACTACTGCTCATATTACCGAAGTACCAGAAAAGGCTTCAACTGGTATTCCCCCTTTAAATATCAGCATCGAAGAAAGTTCACAAACTACTGCTCATGTCGCAGAACTACCAATAGAAACTTTTACTGGTATTCTCACACTAAACATGAGCAATGAAGAAGCTGCCCAGACTCCTCCAAGCACAGAAGTACAAAGAGATAAATTGTTTGAGGAAACAGAATCTACTACTTATAGTCTGCCACACGTATCAGATGATATTCTTGTAGCTGGAAAAATAAATGATACATATGAGAATGTAAGCAAAACATCAGATGTATCTGATGCAGAAGAAACCATACATGTGACAGAAAATAATGTAAGCATCCCCGTAAGTGAAACAAACCCTTCAACAGTTGAATATACATATACTACAATAAAATATTCTTCTGACCCAACCCCTGTAACTTTTAATTTGTCAACTGTAATTCCTTTCGAAGAGACTGAAACAAAAGATGCATCAATTATTTCATTAAAGACATCGACCTTGCCAACTTCTCTATCAGAATCCTCTCAAACTGATTTTGAAATAACATCTTCAGTTTTGGAAGCAGATAAGCATTCAGATGCAGTAGACGATAAAGCATACCAAACTGTTACATCTGTACCTGCCATAGAAGTGACAACATTAACAGAAATTCCTGAAGTCTCTGATCTTGAAATTTCAACTTCAAGTAAGCATCCTGAAGTAAACGAAACTTTTTATACTACTCTCCAAGAAAATAAATCGCAGCCTTCAATAGATAATTTCCCAGAAATTTTAACATCCACAAAATTGTCGTTTGAAGATATCGAAAATATCAGTCAAGAAGTTTCAAATGATACAAAAGTTTATGATGTAACATCACAAACAGATTCATCAAAATCTGAAAACACCACATACAAAAACGAAACAGAGAGTATTAAAAAGGAGGCATTTTCATCGCCACAAACAACCACAATAAGTACGACAGCTGCATCTGAAGTCGTAGATACAGACAAAGTAGAAATAGTAACTTCCGGCACAGTAACCGCGAATGGAAGCACTCCATTTGTTGAAGAAAAACACACTGATGAAGTTGTAGTAAAATTATCAACTGCTTCACCACAAGTTCCTGATATATCGGAAAAAACAGATGTTACTACAGAAATATTTCCAGAGCATGGTATCATACACACCACTGATGTTCCTGAAATCCTCAAATTTGATAATATCTCTACCACGAGTGAAACCATTACTGTTCCAAACCAAACAGTGAAACCTTTGGTAGAAGATAGTGAAGAAGCGACGGAATATTTTATTACTGAATATTTACCTACTGCACAGCCTACACAAGTAGATATCATCGGTAAAAAATCTACGACAGAAAAGGTGTCACTCGACGAAGAGACTAAATCAACTTTCACAACAATTTCACCTTCTGAAATATCTGATTTCTCTACAGTGAAAGGAGAAACGTCGCAGGGTATAAGCACAAATGTTAGAATTACATCTGAAACAGAGCAGACATCAACTATTGCTACAGCTATTGACACTGAACTTTCAACTTCCCATTTTGAAACAAGCACAGAAACAGATTTAAGTGACTCAAATTCAATTCTGGGAAGTCAACCCACAAATTTGACTGAAGTAAATGAAGAAGCTGGCATAAAAATATCAACTACATCTTTAACGCCAGACATTGAAACATCAACTGGATTTTCAGATTTCCTCGAGTCGTCGCCTAGTGACAAACCATTCAATGTGACAATCTCTGAAGTTAAGGAGCACTCGAAACCGGTACACGATACTTTCTCTGAGACAAAAGAACCTTTATTAATTAAAGACAAGTCCCCATCAGGGATAACGGAACAAGCGATCGTTTCATACACATCGACGACGTTAAAATTAGACGAAACGGCTTCCGAAACCACCACTCTTTCTAGTGATACTGCCAAATATCCTACGTCTGAAACGGTGACAGATAAGGATTATCAAAAATTGGGAATTACTGGAGACATAAATGCAGAATTACCTGACAGTCCTTCTACGAATAAAACAGCTCAGGATTCTACTATACATCTAAGTCCTGAAATAGTAGACCAGTTTGTTACACAAAAGGAAACCACATCTTCAGGAAAGGAAATAATTAATACTTCTACAGAAGCTGAAACAGAAATTATTACAGAAAGAACAACTGAGCTACCTGAAGCACCGTCGTCTCACTCAGATGATGCAATCGATGGAACTACAGCATTCCATTTGAACATAAGCACCGAAAATAGTATGAAAGAAGAAGGAGTAAAGCATATACCGGAAGACCTCATTTTCGAATTGGGCGCCCAAAGTGAACAAGGAATTGCTTCAACTGCTTCAGTAGATGAATACCTTTCTAAAGATAAGGAAAATGGCACAGTTTCATTCGAGCAACCTGTCACTTCCTATGATAGTTTTGACGAAAGGAAAACAGAGCCTGTAGAGACTGGAAAGAATATTTCTTCTGTGTTCGCTGTTAACGAAAACATTTCACAAATTTCTACCTTTATCGACGATACTACGACTGAATATTTACATAAGCTAGAAACAACAACAAAACGTCCGGAAATTCATGATGAAGTTCATGAAATAAAATCAGATTTGCCTCCTTTCACTGTTACAATAGCTTCGGAACCAGAAACTCAGACTGACAGCAAGGCACTTCAAAACGTATCATTTACAGACATCACCGAATTAACTTCAGTTGATAAAACTGTTCCCAAAGTACAAGAAAAGGAAACTGGAAGCAGAGAAAGAGCAACAACAGCTGAGTCTTTTTGGCATGAAGGAACTTCAGAATCAACGACCTCATTTTTAGGTTTAACAGAAACTGTTGTTACAAAAGAGGATTCTGAAGAAAGAGTAAATACGAAAACAACAGATTTTATCGACATCACGCTCATATCAACCACAAAGAAACCTACATATCATTTTGAATCTACAGAATATACAGTGCTACCTACAGAGCCTAATAACATCAACGATACACATTTAGTTGCGATTTCTGAAACCTCGAAAGATGTAAACACTGTTCATAATGAAACAGCTAAGATTCCAGAACAAATCTCAGACTCCGGAGCGGCAAATGCTAATGCAACAATTACAACTCAGTTGAACACAGATGCAATAGGTACTGAACACGAAGAACGTTTGAATGTTACTTCAGTTAATTATGACCTTTCTACTTTAGGCAGTGAAACTGATTTCCCAGAAGAGGCTTCTGAGTATGATGAACAACTACACACAAAAAAAGATCTAAAAGATGCATTATCTACTCCTTCAGATGTTGGAGAAGAAAGTGATATACGTTTAATAACATCTGTGATTCCAGACGTCGAAGATATAATTTATAAAGAGAATCAAACAGTTTCAGATGATAGGCAGTTTACCACTGTCCATGAAATTACAAATGCATTTAACGACTCCGCAGATAAAAGCACTGACACAGAATTCATGACGACTAGTACAGAAAAATTATCCACACAAGCATCTTCAAACGAATCTATGTTTCAAATTTCAGAAAAAGAATTTTCTACTGAATCACCATTCATCATTCAGACTTCAGAAACGGAATCTAGCACTCAGCCGTCAAAAGAAGTATATTCTACTCATGTAACAGGAGATGAATTTGAAATCAATGCATTAAAAGACGAAATTACCACTCAAATTTCAAACAGAATAAATATTCAGACGTCCACTGAATCTTTAAAAGCTGAATTCGAAACATCAACACAAGATTCAGTGACCCAGAAATCAACGACTTACTTTGCAATTGATGAATTACAGGACAAATTTGAAACTCAAAGTCCAAAAGGAGAAACTGTTACTTCTGCGCCAGACGAACAACTTACTACTCAATTCGAAGTAAAATTCGAAACACAGACGCCAGTAGATGGTTTGGTAACAAAAGATGAGTTAATAACAGACGCTACAAAGGAAGAAATTAAAGCTCCTGTATTAAAGGATGAATTCACACATTCATCAGAAGAAGAGTTTACCACTCAGACAGTAAATGAACAATTTGTTACTGAATCAAAGAAAGAAAGCTCTGATGCGCCAAAGGAAAAATTTGCTACTGAATCTTTAAAGGAAGAAAGTTCTTCTAATGCACCACAGGAAACGTTTGTCACTGAATCATCATTAGAAGAAAGTTCTGATGCACCAAAAGAAGAATTTTCTACTCAAGCATCATCACAGGAAAAAAGTTCCTCCGAAGCGCCAAAGGAAAAATTTGCTACTGAATCTTTAAAGGAAGAAAGTTCTTCTAATGCACCGAAGGAAACGTTTGTCACTGAATCATCATTAGAAAAAAGTTCTGATGCACCAAAAGGCGAATTTTCTACTGAATCATCATCACAGGAAAAAAGTTCTTCCGAAGCGCCAAAGGAAAAATTTGCTACTGAATCTTTAAAGGAAGAAAGTTCTAATGCACCAAAGGAAACGTTTGTCACTGAATCATCCTTAGAAGAAAGTTCTGATGCACCAAAAGAAGAATTTTCTACTCAAGCATCATCACAGGAAAAAAAGTTCCTCCGAAGCGCCAAAGGAAAAATTTGCTACTGAATCTTTAAAGGAAGAAAGTTTCTTCTAATGCAACCGAAGGAAACGTTTGTCACTGAATCATCATTAGAAGAAAGTTCTGATGCACCAAAGAAGAATTTTTTTTCTACTCTCTCATCATCATCACAGGAAAAACGTTCTTCCGAAGCGCCAAAGGAAAAATTTGCTACTGAATCTTTAAAGGAAGAAAGTTCTTCTAATGCACCAAAGGAAACGTTTGTCACAGAATCATCATTAGAAGAAAGTTCTGATGCACCGAAAGAAGAATTTTCTACTGAATCATCATCACAAGAAAAAAGTTCCTCTGATGCGCCAAAGGAAACATTTGCTACTGAATCTTTAAAGGAAGAAAGTTCTTCTAATGCACCAAAGGAAACGTTTGTCACTGAATCATCATTAGAAGAAAGTTCTGATGCACCAAAAGAAGAATTTTCTACTCAATCATCATCACATGAAAAAAGTTCCTCCGAAGCGCCAAAGGAAAAATTTGCTACTGAATCTTTAAAGGAAGAAAGATCTTCTAATGCACCACAGGAAACGTTTGTCACTGAATCATCATTAGAAAAAAGTTCTGGTGCACCAAAAGGAGAATTTTCTACTGAATCATCATCACAGGAAAAAAGTTCCTCTGATGCGCCAAAGGAAAAATTTGCTACTGAATCTTTCAAGGAAGAAAGTTCTTCTAATGCACCGAAGGAAACGTTTGTCACTGAATCATCATTAGAAAAAAGTTCTGATGCACCAAAAGGAGAATTTTCTACTGAATCATCATCACAGGAAAAAAGTTCCTCTGATGCGCCAAAGGAAAAATTTGCTACTGAATCTTTCAAGGAAGAAAGTTCTTCTAATGCACCAAAGGAAACGTTTGTCACTGAATCATCCTTAGAAGAAAGTTCTGATGCACCAAAAGAAGAATTTTCTACTCAAGCATCATCACAGGAAAAAAGTTCCTCCGAAGCGCCAAAGGAAAAATTTGCTACTGAATCTTTAAAGGAAGAAAGTTCTTCTAATGCACCGAAGGAAACGTTTGTCACTGAATCATCATTAGAAAAAAGTTCTGATGCACCAAAAGGAGAATTTTCTACTGAATCATCATCACAGGAAAAAAGTTCTTCCGAAGCGCCAAAGGAAAAATTTGCTACTGTATCTTTAAAGGAAGAAAGTTCTTCTAATGCACCAAAGGAAACGTTTGTCACTGAATCATCCTTAGAAGAAAGTTCTGATGCACCAAAAGAAGAATTTTCTACTCAAGCATCATCACCGGAAAAAAGTTCCTCCGAAGCGCCAAAGGAAAAATTTGCTACTGAATCTTTAAAGGAAGAAAGTTCTTCTAATGCACCGAAGGAAACGTTTGTCACTGAATCATCATTAGAAGAAAGTTCTGATGCACCGAAAGAAGAATTTTCTACTGAATCATCATCACAAGAAAAAAGTTCCTCTGATGCGCCAAAGGAAACATTTGCTACTGAATCTTTAAAGGAAGAAAGTTCTTCTAATGCACCAAAGGAATCGTTTGTCACTGAATCATCATTAGAAGAAAGTTCTGATGCACCGAAAGAAGAATTTTCTACTGAATCATCATCACATGAAAAAAGTTCCTCCGAAGCGCCAAAGGAAAAATTTGCTACTGAATCTTTAAAGGAAGAAAGTTCTTCTAATGCACCAAAGGAAGCGTTTGTCACTGAATCATCAACAGAAAAAAGTTCTGATTCATCAAACGAAGAATTTGCTACTGAATCATACCAAGAGAAAAGTTCTTCTTATGCGCCAGAGGAAAACTTTGCTACTGAACATTCAAAGGATGAAAGTTATTTTAATACATCAGAGGCAAAGTTTGTCCCTGAATCGTCAACAGAAGAAATTTCTGATGTGTCTAAAGAAGAATTTGTTACTGAATCATCACAAGAAAAAAGTTCCTCGGATGCACCAAAGGAAAAATTTGCTACCGGATCTACAGTAGAAGAAAGTTCTTCTAATGCGACAAAGGAAAATTTTGTCACTGAATCATCAACAGAAGAAAGTTCTAATGCACCAAAAGTAGAGTTTTCTACTGAATCACCAGAGGAAAAAAGTTCTTCTGATGCATCAACTGAAGAATTTTCTACTGAGGTATTAAAAGAAGAAAGTCCTGATGCATCAAAGGAGGAATTTTCTACTGAAGTTTTAAAAGAGGACGTTTCTGTTCAAACAACAAAAGATGAATTGGCTCCCCAAACATCACAAGATGAACCTATTACTGAAACTTCAAAATCAGCATTTGTTACGGAAATATCAAGCGAAGAGGTTACTCCACAAAGCAACAAAAGACGTTTTCTCTGTTAAAATATCAACTGAAGAACTTAACACTCAAGTAACGGAACTGTCTGAGACGTCGAAGACAGACGATGAACTTAATAGTAAATTTACTCCTGCATCGAGTGTGCTGCCCACGGGATCAGAATCAGCAGAAAATGTTAGCACGGAGTCTAGTTTCAAAATTCCAGATATTAGTCCAAGTATACTAGAAGAAAAATTAACAGAGTCTGACCCTGAAGTTGAAACATCAACGGGAATAAAAGACTATACAATTACTTTAGTACCAGATAACGTAGAAATTGAAACTACAAACAAAATTTCTAATCTGCCAACAGATTTTATTCAACCAGAAAGCGTTACCTCTAAATCAACTGTTACATATCCCCCAAGAGATTATACAACGTTGTCGCTAGATGAAAATGTGAAAGTTGTCTTTGTAGAAAACACAACCGGAAAATTTCCTGAAATTCTCTCTGTGATTAAAGTTTCTCATGAAGAACCACCTCCTAAAATCGATGGCTCGCTGAGTAAATTTGATACCACAGAAGATTCTTTAACGAGTTCTTATAGCCCAAGTTTGGAAGATAAATTAGTGTACAATGATTTGACAAATTCGACCTTTGACGTAACTGAAGCAAAAGTGCACAGTGAGAGTAACAAGGATTCATTTCAGGAAACTACACATGTCATCGATGATAAGTTGACTTCTATTAAAACAGATAATGTAGACTTTCCAATTGCCTCTTTTAATTTAACGAATCTAAATGAAACTAAGTCGTCCCTGAGCGATGATACTTTTGTATCCTCAATGGAAACTACTTTCACAGTAACAGATACACCATCCACAACTGGCATAACAATAAAAGCATCTACTGATGCCACTGACGAATCTCTTCAACAAGAAATACTAAAGACCCAAACTACTGAAGAATTTTCAGTTATTGGAAAGAATATTTCCACAGAATCAGCTAAAACTACCGAATTTGAGGATCAACTGTTTACTAAATCAACAGATTTAAAACATGTTACACCGCAGCCTATTTTACCTGGGCTTACTGAAGTTATTAGCGATGGCCTCTCAACACCTGTTTCAGTCACCATTACTCAAGATCAAAGCGAAGGTTCTTCAGACTCTGAGAATTTTAAAGACAGTCATTTTTCGGAAGAAAGTGGTATCACCGATCATCCATCAACAGACATATATTTATTGCAAAATACCCAAACATCAGGTGACAACGAAACGCGTACATATTCCACGAAAACCGATATTTTGGTAGACGGCGCACATAGTTCGTCTGCAAGCGAGTCATCTGTTTCTGGCGTAGAAGAAAAAGATTCATCTCATATATACACTGAAGTACCTCTCGTTATAAAAGATCTCCAAACAGCTAATTCAACGTTTCCACAGGATGTAAAATCCCAACAAACAACAGTATCTTTTAGTTTCGATGACGAAATTTCTCATGGTAGCACACATCAAGAAAAACATGCAGGAACTTTCATTCCTGACGGAGATCTAACTAGATTACCGGAAATCATAACAAGTGATTCCACGACACCTGAAATCCCTCATCTTGCAACGAACTTTACCCAAGCAGATAATGAAACGGAAGAAGTATTGAAACACAAGGAAGCTTCACCCCAGGTTACTTATCAAGAGTTAATCAATTCTTCAAGTACAGATTTTTCAGTTTCTTCGCCTGCTTATGAAAACGTCTCGCAAACTCAAGAAGTTCAAACTTCTACTGAAACAGAAATTTTAACTGAACAAGCAGTGCATTCAACAAAACTGTTTACTATTATTAATGAGGCTGATGAAGATGTTTCTCCTAATGCTACCCTTAGTATTGGTTCCTCAGTAACAGATAGTCTGTTACCAACAACGGTCTCAGTATCTCTGAGCAACGACGTATTTGAAAGTATTGATGGTGCTTCTCCAAAACCAACAAACGATTCTCTTGATAATGGGAAACCAGAAACAGAAATTAGCGTAGAAATCTCTGATGAAATTCATAACATAGAAATCGCTGATGAAAATCAAACTCAAGATGATTTATTAGAAAATACATCAGATGAATTCGATGTCTCCACAAGTTATACTCAACATGATTTACCTGTGAATGCAACTACTATACAACCTTCTATAGAACCAACATTCAAAGAAATTTTTGACGATTTATCTGAACATTCTGCTGAAGCAATAGATACATATACAGGAACTCCTGGAGATTCTACTGAAATTAAATCTAACAAGCCATCTGTAGTGGAAACAACTACGAATATTTCTTCAACTGATATTAAAGAATATGAGTCTTCCTCTAAATTGCCAACTGATGTAGTTACTGAGGAAATAATTGATTTACTTAAAACGACTTTGCCACAAGAGAAAGAAAGTATTTCGTCTTTTTCTAGTACTTCTTCAGAAACTATCACTCAAAAACCTCTGACAGAAGAAATATTACCTACAGTTGAAAGTCATTCTGAAGTTTATATCGACGAGAAACGCACTGGTTCTACTACAGAAGAGTTTCAGGATGATTCTTTCTTAGGAATTCAAACAACTACAGAAAAGGATACAAGCATAAATGTTGAAGAAGTAGAAACAAAGGTTACTGAAAGAGTATCCTCAACATCACCAGCTGAAACTGAAGAAAAGCATGAATTTTCAACTTCATCATATGATAATGAAACAAATATAGATGTTACACAATCTTCCGAAACGGGCAATATTACAGAACCTAAAGTAACTGAAACGGTGCATGAATTTTCCACAAACAGTTCAGCTTTACTCTCTGTTACTGATACTTCTTCCACAATTACTGAAACTTCTAGTGTTACGTCTACTACTCCTACACTTCCCGTCAGAGGCTTTGAGCCGGAAGAAAATGAAACATACTCTCAGACTGATGGTACTGCAGTACATATTACAGCGAAACCAATAAAAGATTATGTTTTACAAAAGAACTTAACTGCAATAGCACATACTACACCATTCTCACAGACCACCGCTTCTGACAGTTTCAAATCTGGTACTACTGTAAAGCCTTCAGAATTACTTTCCACAGTAGTATCACACTCAACTGAATCTACATTAACTGATACGCAGCCAACAAGAACTGCTAACGTATCTGATGAAAGTTCTCTCATATTACAGCTTAACGATTCCTCTTCTGAAATTCCACATATATTCGGAACAGAAGACATCACATCTTTTATCAGTACGGATTTTCCAGAAGAAGACAAGCATAGAAGTCCAGAAGTATCCAGTGTCACTTCTCCACAAACAGATCAAGGAACTAAGGCTCCATTTACTACACCTGTATATACAGACCTATTAAAAACTGTCTCAGAAATTTTTGATAAATATAGTCCTGTAGCCATGATATCCGCGACAAATGGATCCTTTGAATCACAGTACCCAACAACGATTTCAGGTAAATAACTCACTGATATATTATTTAACGTTAAAGCTAACTTACTATTTAATAATGGAAAAAGTTAACTTGATATTTAATAATGTAAAAAAAATTTAAAAAATATCACTGCTGTTTTTCTTCCCCCCCCCCGTGAATTTTTTTCTTATTTTTCCTCCCAAATTTTTATGTCAATGTAGAAAACTTATTACTTGTATAAATTATTTGTTTTTCATTTAGAGTTAAGCTTCATTTCTAAAATTTCCCATTAATCGGTCCCTACATTTCAGTTTATTTGCTAGTTAACTTGCATTTTACTATACATTGGAATATACATAGCGCATAAGTTTCCTTTAACCTCCTTTAACATTAGTTTTAAGTTCTACAGAGCTGCAGAAGCAAGCCTATTCATAGGAAAGCGACTACGCTGCTGATTTAAAACGTCAGATGCCACAAGCGGCGAAGTAACGAAATTAGAATTTCGGAGGGGGGGGGGGTTCGAAAATTAAAACCTTTCAGACACGGAGTTTCAGAATACGTTTTGTTTGGTATTGGAGGTGTGTGATTTTCATACGCATAAGCTCGCCTCACACACACACACATATACACATAGTGATTCAAAAATATCTAGCAAAAACATGAAGGCAGATAAGGAGACCGAAATATGCAGATTTGGTAATGAAAAATATACCCGTAAATGGTGCGTTCGGGTGGTATAGGAGGCTGTTGAACGATAAATAAAAGCATTCTCTTGGTATAAACTGTCACTCTCCGTACGTATTTTGAGTGATGTGCATCGCTATACAAACGCGGAGCTCGCCTATATGCATTTTATCTATGGAGCAGCTGCTTAAAGGTGTTACTTGGGAATCGTTCTCTGTACCTTCTTTGAACCCCTGCTCCGATTTAGAAGAGGAGTAATTATTTAGTGGAGGAATGTAAAATTATATGTGATATCATTAACTAAATTTTTCGAAACAATATGCAAACATTGCTAGCCGCTAATATATGTGAAGGTTTCGAACTTCAATTTCCAAAGAAAAATTAATTAGCATCGGTAAAAACATATTCCTTGAAGAAACGCTTAACCTTTTGAAGACGGGATGGCCATTATAGTGGCCATAGAGTCCTCTCTTTGAAAAGACGAGGTTGTCCACTTTAGTGGCAATGTCTCCCCCCCCCCATTTTCCAGGCTGAAAAGTGGGGTGAAATGTCAAATTTGACGTCCCTAGGGTTTTAACAACTTATCTCTTTCAAACGTCTTCCTTTTGCGACATAGATGCATTCCTATGAGAATCCATTAAACTACACACAAGAATCTTTGTTGCAAATAGGAGGTGATTTCTTAAAGGGGGGAAGCATTCGGTTCAAGATTCCCCGTCCTTTGGTAGCTTTTACTGCTACCAAAGCCCCGGCATCAAAAGGTTAAACAAAAGAAGAGTATTTAATTAAATTTGATTAAATGTCTCCGTAAAACACTCGGTTTTACTCTGAGTAAACGTGGCTTGAGTTGTATAACGCAGACAGTTTTTTTCAAGCTCAGTTTTCTGTATGTCCCTCCGCCAGTGATCTTTCATAGGATAAGAGACAATTTAATTATTGAAATTTTCTTTCTACAGACCCGTGAACTTGAATTCCTTATATTTGTACAATAAAGTGTCTCGTTACTGTCATAGTCCGAAAGTCATTATTTGATTCATTAAAATTTCTTATACTGGAACTGTGGTTCTCCGGGTAAAATATTAAGAGATATTTATCTGTTAAACATTTTTGAAACATCCTGAGTAGTTAAGCTTATTCAAGAGTTTAAAATTTCCATTTTTGTCATTATATAAAACTTCATTTTATAACTCAACAGTTTTGCATAAAAAGTGTTATTGGAAAACACACGTCTACGTATCAGGTTATGCAGTCTGTGATGATGCCTCCTTGATCTGTCATTGATATTTGGATTCACTACAATATATTAGTATTACTTTCATGTTAATAGTATTAATTAGAAGTAGTTTAGTTTATTACAGTTTTACTTGACTCAAATCCTTAAATATCTTAAGCAACCGAACAATTACGCATTACCACTTCTCTTCTCAAAAAGAAGCACACTTAAAGCTGTTAACTTCTAATAATCCAGAAACGTCTTTTTCTGCTTTTCGTACTATCCTTTTTTTAGAGACATGCCCTGTGTAAGCATCGAAATTTCGTACATTTTTCAAAAAGCTGAGCTTCAGAATGTAAATGAAAAGGTTTGGGAATATACGTTCGAAGAAATCTGCTATGCAAATGCATTAAATCTTTTATTCAGCTTAAGTAAACTTTAAGAACAGGAAGCTTTTGTCAGGAAACGTATGCTAGGTTCTGAATCAGCCTTGTCGTGTTGTCAGTGCCTCACTACTGCCTAGGCCTAAAGCCCCAGGTTTTAAAGGACCCTAAATCCCTGTTCCTCATGACACTGTTCTTCTTCATTAAATAAGGAAAATAAGAATTTGGAGCCCCTGAACGTGTTCTGTGTCTAGGACTTCAGACTATCCTAATAGGGGCCTGAGTGCAGTTTTGTATGCATCTATATGTAAAATAAAAAATATATAAATCAAAATTATAACTTAATATCCCCTGTATTCCTTATTTTAATTTTGGTATTTCCCATCTATATTCTAAAAAATAGTAATAATTATTTCTGGACTGCGGCATTTTTATATTAATCCATATCACATGACTTACATAACGTTGACAACGTATCTAATTCGGAACTTGAACTCAAAATTTCGAGGACTGAAACCTTTCTCTTAGTGAGCTTCTACGTTGGGTAACTCCGCATTTGTTTTCTACTTCTGTTACCAATAAGACGTTTCCAGCCTACTTCTCTTCTCACTACTAGGCTGTAGAGTCTCACTATTTAGGTAGCATACACTAAATCAGAAACTTTTTTGAACTTAAGCGACTTATCGCTATGTCTAGGTAAACAACAAAACGTAAGAAGGGTGTGAAAGACCTTTTTATTCAGAGCTCAAATCACTGAACACAAGCCACTTCTTTTGCTTACCAAACCAGTCACCATTTAGGGCGTAACTCAAAAGGTAAGGAATTCAAATTTAAACCGAAGTTAAGTCTTTGAATTAGCCAAAGACTACGCAAAAATAGCTAACTCGCATCTTGGCTTAAACTTACACCAGTGTGACAAGCCCCATTGGTAAGAATAAAGCAACGCCGAAAACAAACTGCTAACGTAAAATATCAACCAGTAACGGGGCCTTCAGCAGGTGGAATGCGCTTTGACTAAGCTATGTAAAATCTCCCTTTAAATGCTCTCTCTTTCTACCTTACTTAAATATGCGTGAGGTAAAATTTGCATTCTGGCAGGAAAACGGAAAGGGAGAAATGACAGTATAGCTACTGAACATAAAATAACTGTTTAGTTTAAATAAAATAAATACTTTACAAAACTGTCAAACATGCAAAATGGCTGAAATAGGAACGATTACAGTGCCAACTGAATTGTGACCGCAAATGTCAATTGAAATAAAAATGAATATTTAATCTGTCACGTCTGCCACGTTTGCCCTTTAGACAGATAAATAGACAGAGAAAGAGATAAAGATTTAGATACATAAATATAGATATACAAATATAGACGTAGAGATAGATAGACAGAGATATAGATTTAATCTCAAAATGAAAAAATATCAGTGTTTAAATTTCTGCTTTAAGTGTGATAATCTTGTATTTTATAAAACTAAAATGTTTTACAAAACTTAAAATTTTCAAGAAGCGTTATGATCAATGGTCTACTTTAATTTGTAATATTTAGACGAATTCTATTTATTTTTCGCAGTCTATTATAACACTTTAATTTTCAGGTAGCCTTAGATTTAAAACTCTCTAACATTTTATTTCAGGATTTGGTCTGGAGGACTATCAACATCTTTTACAGGAAGAAGGAAGTAAGTGTTCTTATTATTAAATTCCTTTCTCTTCACTCTCTGAATATCTTTTATGAATAATAAGATTAGGTGTGTTTTGGTGTTTTGGTGTATTTAATTACGGCAAAGAACACAAGGGCTATCTGCCTAAGGGGAGAGATGCCTTCGTGGAGGACTTTCTAAGGGAAACTGACTCGTATACACGTTACACATGGGGAAAACTACGAAAACGCCCATGCAGCCAGCCCGTTCGTGGGATTCGAACCTCGGATCGAACTACCAGTGTTCAGCGACTTTACCGCTCGGCCGCTGGTGGGCCCAAATAAGATTAGGGAAGGAAAACATAATTTCATTGAGCTGAAAATTAGAAAGAAAAAAAGAATTTGAAAGTTTAAGCACTAGAAATCTAAATAGAGATTAATGAAGCAAAATATCTTACGCAGTCATTCACTTATGAAATTGTTCAAATCACGCGTGAATTCCTGAATATGTTTCGTCTTGGAACGTTTTATCATGAAGTGAAAGAAACTCCCTGGGGTATTCGCTTTTTGGTAACGCTGAACCGACTGCGAAATTATCCAGCAGGAATCAAAGCTCTGAAAGAATTTTTTTATTTATTAGCATATTCATATTATAGGCTTCTAATTGATAGATTTATTTTTAAAAAAATTAAAAATTCGATAATAATGCCAAGAGAAATCTTCTGTTTTTGAGTGCTGCAATTGTGAAATAGACAGGGCAAAATGAGTTTTTCATTTAAATCAAAACCTTTAAGATTAATGTTTTGAGTAGTTATATTTATTTTCAGGTAATCTATTTGTATGCAGTAATATGTAAAGTTGGGCTGAATTCAAGAATTTTCAAAATACTGACGATATTACAGAAACTGGATTTTAAGACAATAAAGAATATTCCACATGCATTTCTTTATTCTAATTTAATGATGAGCAATTCTTGCTTTACAATAGCCTAAAACTGAAAAACCTGTTATTCCATGCAAACTACAATGAACGCAATATTAAGTACATTTAAATATTTGTATTAAAAAGTAATTCATGATACAGGATTTGTTATTTTAGACATAGGTTTACAGAAAAAGTTTTATTTAAAATTTGATTAATAATGCTTTTAGTATATGCACAGGTTTATGAATATATAATTTCTAATAAAAAGAAATTAAGTAGCTTTCGAATTACTTATTTCTCTTTTAATTTAAGCAGTTGAACTTTCAAGTTCATAAGAAGGCTCAACATTGCCGGATCAACCCTAGTTTAGAATATCGGCAAACGGAATGTGTGCGTGGCTGTTTTGATGATTTTCCCACTAATTAACATAACAAGCCAGTGTCCCTTAGAAAGCCCACCACGAAGCTCGGCAGTCTCGGCAACAGGTTAGCTGACATAAAGGCAAGAGAGGCTGCTAATGGCTCAGTAACAATCATAATTCATTTATCAAACCGAGTTTCTTTATAAAAATAAAGTTAGAAAAATATTTGCAAAGATTACGTAAATCTTGTTCGGAGCAACCAACAACAGGACAAAAGACTTTCCTTTTTACCCCAGTACCTTCAAGAAATATGGTCGATTTGTGATTTATACATTTCGTTTTGTCCAGCAAGCCATGAATAAATGTACTTACGGAGAAACAGGAAGCATAGATCATTATATGTTTGATTGCAAAATTACACAGGATCTCCATTTTAGACAATACACGCACGAAGAACGTAAAGGGATGTCTCTTTGCAGAAACTGAAACTTTCATAACTAAGTCATAAATTAAATACATTATTGCGTTATCTTTCAGAAAACTGCGACGATCTCAAATCAGTTTGACTCAGTTAGTTTTGTAAAGCAAAATTTGTTTTGTTTAACGGTGACTTTATTTTTAAGACTGTAATAACATTCCTCACTGGTTATTTTAAAATTAATGTAAGCTTTTTTTTAAAATTTATGTGAATACGCAACATAATCTTAAGCAGCAGCTAGTATTTATTTTTCATTGCAATGTAAACTCTGGTATTTATATAAATGCCAGTAGGTTTCTTCACCTATTAAGCATTAAAAGTTGAAGGCCTTCCGGTGGTACAGCTACTCAACTAGATAACTAAGTAACTATGGTAAAATGCCCTCGCGTGCCTTGGTATATAGTTTACGTATCTGACACATTTCGTTTCTCAGTTTAATATATCGGATACAATTTCTAATCACTAATAATCAAGGTGTCTTTTGCGACTGCATTTCTAATTTTTTTTCATTTAGAAAACAATTATATTCATAGATAAACATTGCCAAATAATTTCATTACTCGTCTGACTTAAGTAGTCAGCAATTAAAAGTGCGATAAATAACTGTTATGAAAATCAGTAAGACTAACACATGGAAACTTAGTTCTGAGCTCAGTGTTGTTTTGTTATTAGTTATATGCATCTGAAATTCTTCAGGAACACTCTCATTGCTCGTTGCTTGAAGAGTAAACTGAATTTTTTTTTATATTCGTATATTTTACTTGAATATTTTTTCGTTTCAGAGGGATTTAACTTTCTTAGAATTTGAAAATGAGACATGTTATTTGATTCCATTTGCCGATTAATTTTTTGTTTATTTTCTGACGCTTTTATTGCATCCAGCATTTCAGTACACGCTTATTTTGACCTTGAAAATTTACATTTAATTTATTCAAAAGTTAAGTGATATCAATACATAATGCAAAGTCGTTTATATAGTCCTTGTCTTAAATTCTATAGCACGGGCTGTAGAAAGAAATAAACTTTGCTGTTTAAATCGTATACTGTCTACCAGGGATAACAGATTCGTGATAAATTTTGAAGAATATATAAAATGAACGCCATAATATTTTTTGGGGGATAAAGTTGTTTTAAACTTCTTATGTAGATATTGTCCATCCACGAAAGAAAGATCCGTGGTTGGATGCGTACCAGAAAATTTCGATGAGTGCTGTAGAGATGTAAGTGTGAAAAATCCGTGCTTAGTCTACTTGTAAAGTCTACTTGAAAGCATAGTATCAGTTTCCTGGAAATTCTTGAATTTATGAATTTGCGAGTAATAGAAAATCTTTATTTCCCTACAACGCGCGTCGAACTGCGTGTCTTTCTTTTCTTGGACGGACAGTGCACGTTTAAGAATTCTGCATCTCAATATTGATTCTCAGCATTGAAAAGGATATCGTCATATTCGTTTCACCTTTTCTTCAAAATTCTCTAACCTGTAGATTAATCACTCCTGAAGGTCTGATAAAATTTGCAATTTTTAATGATCAAGAAAGGAAAGACACTTTGAAAACTTTTGAAACTTTGTTTCAAAATTTTCTTAGCGCAAAATGCAATGCAAAATAATAATTTTGCATCTTTTCGATATTTCTTTGCCTCTGAATAATATTTCCGATAGACTAACACCGAGCTTCAAGCTTCATCTATCGTTATCCTAACGATCTTTTTTACTGGGATATTTTTTGGATAGAGAACAGTTAGGTTCCTGCATAAATGTATATTCTTCAAGTGTTCTTTCCTACAATACCCCAAAACTCTCATTACCATCTCATCCTCAGTCGACGTAGCTGGTGTTTTTCGGAGAAGGTCCAAGCACAGATTCTTAGCCTTAGCGCAAATGATAGCTTCCGACACCGCATCTCCTTTTAACCGCGTCTCGTTAATTCACACCAACAACAGCTTCTCAACATCTTCTAGGAGTTTTGGACGGTGCTTGGATGTAACGGTAACTCCTTTGACCACATCAAGTTTCTTAATTTCTTCCTTCTTCTTTAGAATAGTTCAGATCGTTGATGCCGAACGGTCCTAAGGCTTTGCCAATTCTGTCAGTCTTACACCACGCTTATGTTTATCTATGATTTCTTTCTTAATTTCAACGTTCATGGCTACCTTCGGTTTCTTTGCAGCACTATCCGAGGCAACAATCATCTTGAGAAGCATCGTAAAATAATTATTTTCACATTAAAAGTAAAAAGAGTTAACTCACAAGCGCGCAAACACATATATTAAAAAACACTAAGTGATCTGACGAAGGGATTCCTCGAGTCGAGCCGGATCAGGAAACGTGCCACGCATACCAGCAGCCTGGCTTGCTGCTCGGTACTCGAATCAATGCTTGTATTTAGAGACAAATGTTTCGCTCAAACTTTCCTCTTATCTCGAATTTCTCGTATACAGAGGTGCTCGTATCTCAAGGTTCCACTGTATAATATTTACATTTCAGATAAATCTAGAGTAAAATTTCAGTAGATTGCTAGTTGCTCATCACTGTTGAATTTTATTGCACTTGTGCGGTGAAAATGTTAAAAACAATTTAAAGAAAAACACTCGAAAATGGTAAAGTTTTTAATTTGAAATGTTTCTTTGTTTTTCTTTATTTAGTCTGTTTCTATGAGGGTCGTATCTTCCCATCTGCAAAACAAATACCCAGAAGGGACCCATGCGAGTTTTGCTTCTGTTTCCGAAGTGAAATTCTATGTCTTCAACAAGCCTGTCCACCTCCAATTCGTAACTGTTTTGCAACACCTATCCCAGGATTCTGCTGCCCAAGATTTCACTGTCGTAAGTTCACTTCTTTACTCTCCAAAATCATTTAGAAAGTTAATGCAAAATTGTTATGCATGTATATTATTACAGTAGCTTAGTTTCATAGATATTAGATATGAACAGCTTTTAAATAACATTCTCCTCAAAATTCAAAATGCATCGTATCTACTTTGCAAGCAATAACAATGGCAATAATTATTTTAAATTTTTTAATCCATAAAAATTAATTTTTTTAATGTTAAATTTCCTAATGTTTTTAACGTATATTTATTCAATTACTTCTTTTTAGCTTACTCATTTTACTGAATACAACCTCCAAATTGTCAGTTTATTAAATAAAATGTAAAATATTTATCGTTTGATTAATTTAAACTAAAGGTTTGAAACATTTACGAAATCAGAATAATTGTAAGATGATGAATTATAAATTTTTAAATCAGTTTTAATTCTTCAAATTAAATATTTGCATTTCAAATAGAATCATTGTAGGATGTTGAATTGGGACTTTTAAAATCAACTTTTCATTCTCAAAAAGAAATACCTGTATATCAAATTTCAATATTTAATATTTAAATTCGGTCTTTTTCTTTGCCAGCACGTTCATGAGATACGTTCGTTCACTGTGTATAATTAGTTTTCAAAATGTATGAATTTTGGTTATAGAACGCGAACTGTTTGGTGTTCAGTCGAAAGCTTTATTTTCTTGAAATCTAATTATCATTTGTACTGAAAACGTAATTTCTGAAGTATTCTGAAAACCAAGAAGCTTGTTTTCAATCACTGAGCTTGTCTTCAAAATAATACTTCAAATTATTTTCCTTATCTTATTTTCTGTAACCAAGAAGGTTCGAAACCACGAATTTAAAATACATTTATATTCCTTATATCTTTTGCCTTGATATTTGGTCAGAAAATATATTCAGACTAATATTTAAAAGCTTTGCTTAACCATTTCCTTAAATTTTGAGTCATTTACCATGGTCTAAAATGTCGCCAGTATTGATGAGACTCTTTGAAAGAATCCTTATCTGCTTTAGTACTTCGCTTCATTATTATCATCAACTAGCTCAACTTCAGATTTCTTATAATTTTATGATCATCATTTTCTTAGTTCTCATTATTCAGAATAATTTTTCTTTTGGTGCTAAACTCCATATTCATTATTTTGATATTATAAAGTCACAGGTTTAGAATTTTCTACAAGCAACGGAACTTTCTTCATTATTATCCTCAACTGTAGGGTTTTCCTTAGTTTGAATAATCAGTTATTCTAATTTGTGTTATCTTTTCCGAACTCCTCATCTTCCTCTCGTATTTCCTCGCCAGGATACAAATTGAGTTGGTGAAAGAAAGTAGTTGAACGGGCGAAAAGAGAAAGTTAGTCAGAGCGTGATTTGGCTAGCATAGCGCACGTTGTTATTCTATCTTTCCTGCTGTTACTCTGAGTTGCTGATACGCCTTCTGGCCGTTTAGTATGTTCGCCGAATCAGCCTGTTAGTACTGAATCAACCTGTTAGTCTTAAGTAGCACTACTTTTTGCCATTTAAATTTTTTGTTAAATTATTTCTTAAATTTCCCCTGCAAGTAGTAGGTGTTATTGTGAGCACGAAGTACATGCACTTTTGTCAAAAGTTTGACGAATAATAAAGTGTTTGTTTCACCCTTCTTATGTGCTGATATTATTCATGCCTATGCGAGAAGTTTCCAGGCTTCCTAGTAAGATCGCACTAATTGTATGGTAGCAAAGAAGATTAGATCCTACATAATTACTTCAAATTTTACACAATTTTATGATCATTATTCTCTTATTCCCTTTGTTCAGAAATATCTTTTTTATGTCTATTAGTGTAATTCCCCAACTCCGCAATGATTTTTATTTATTTATTTATTTATTTATTTATTATTTTAAGAACGCACAGTTACAGTCTTTTAATTTAAACCTTTCTGTGTTCCAGCCGTCCACGAAACGCATTTTAATATTTCAACAACGACAACAACAACTGCACAACCAAGGCTAGGGCAGATTATTCAAAAAACTGTCGAAGCTACAGGTATTTTACTTCCCTTAATATATTTAAGATATTTTATTTTGTATCTCAAATTATTTCATTTAAGAATCAAGATCATTTTTATAGTTATTAGATTAGTTTATTATGAAATTTTTTACTCTACAATGAAGTTTTAGGCTGGTTTTAAATCAGTGTGTACTTATTTGCAAATGCTTTGTGTTTCATAAAAGTTACTTAAGTGGTGCTATTTTGAAAAATTGAAATCGTGTTCTTCTTCTTCGTATCATTTGTTTGTCGATTCCTATACATTCACGTTCAAAATTAATTAAATTAATCTGAAGATAACTTAAAACTACTTCAGAAACTCATTTAATATGGGAAAGCTTAGTTATCTAAACAATTTATGATTGCAAAATAAGCATATAAGCGGTAAAAGGTTGCTCTCAAAGTGGAATACATCGTTATTTCAGTTCAAAGTGGAATACATCGTTATTTCAGTAAATTTCAGTTTCAAAGAATAAAAAAATAAAATCCACCAAATCAATTTTAACTCTTAGACAAAATATCCAATTTTGATGGTCAAATTGCACCATACATAATAGTGTCAAATTAAGAAAAAAGTATTGTTAATCCGTCTAAAGTTAAGGAATTCTCAAATACGCAGTTCATTTGAGGCTGAAATTTACAACTGAAAGGAAGCCCATTTGGTGATACTTGTGTAATACAAAATTGCTTTAAACATTGTACTTAAACATTTTTAACAAAAGAATTTAATGTTCCGAGAAACTGCTTGGTGAAAGTTGAAAGGCTTTGGACTTGCATCAAAAGAAATTTTGCATGGCATCAAAAGAAATTTTTTTGAATGAGCAAAACAATATAATTTATAGATTTGCTTGGAAATTAAGAATTAGTTTCATTAGAAGAAGTAAAATTCAGATTTTGTAGCTATTGTTGCCTATGGGGAAAGGTTGTAGCAATGAAATTATGAAATCTGGCGATCGTTCAGATTTCTGTGCATGCTATTTGCGCAACTAAAAAAAATTGTCTTTCTTTTCTTTTTTAAGATGCAAAGTGGTAGTTCTATTACTGTATGGGTTGGATTATGCATAACGAATAAACCAGAAAGGATTAAATTAATCTCACCAATTTATTAAAAAATTTAAAATGATTTTTTTTCAATCCCTTCGAGAATATTCTTTGCTTTAGAATGAAAGTATTCAACAAAGTAATACTCCTATTCCTTTATGAAACTGTTTAAAACGTTTGAAGTATAAAAAGAGGTATACTCGTACAAGATTCCATTTCCCCGGATTTCCATTTCTCCGAAGGCCCTTCCGTCAAACCTGGACTGGACAGATAGCCTCTCATGGCTCTTGGTTAGTTCAGTTTAATCCTTTTTCGAAAAATAAATTAAGTGGAATAAATAAAAAAAACAAGTAAAAATAAATATGTCAAGCTACTTTGATAAAATAGGGTACTAGAGTACCACATTTATAGTTCTACCACACTGTCTAAAAACTCTTTTAGACAGTGGGAAAAGTGGCATTCCTTAATGGAAAAGTGGTGGCTTTTCATTCTTAATTTTGGATATAAAACGTTGAATACGTCGGTCTACTACAGTTTACTCTAGTTACGTTTTCAGAACGTTTTCGAGAAATGCCAACGATTACTATATGTTTACAGATGTAGTAAGCTTTTCATTCATATCTCACATTACAAACAAAAGAGGGGTGAAAGAAATATTTCTCAATTAATAATGCGTTAATAATGAATATTTTCCAGAACAAGATAACAAACAAATTCCGTTTTCGTATATGTCATTTTAACTATGGATGATAATAATTTTTTTCGGTATCAAGACCTTTCTAAGAGTAATAATTTTATGCAATAGCAAGAAACATTTTATAATTTTTTACTCCCTTGTTCTTCAACAGTTTTTATAAAATTTTTGCTACCATCTAATATCAAGAATGTTTACGAAATTAAACTTGAGTAATGTAATGTGGTATAATATGTTTTACAGGTTGTGAAATCAACGGTAAAGTTTATCGAGTAAATCAGCTTGTACGACCAGCTAGTGGCCCCTGCATGCAGTGTCGATGTGAATATGGTGGAATAATGAAATGTGATCCTAAAGAATGTCAACCTCAAGCACCTTTACTTTTACGCTTAAATAAGGCATTCTTCCGTAAATAATACTCATGATAAAGTCTCAAACACTAATTTCACAACGGCAGCTAAAATTAAATTAGTTTGAAAAAGAAAGGAGATGTGTAAAAGAAAGAAAAAATAGACTAAGTTTCTATAATCAGTTTTTCTGGAACTGTGACATTCAGAGCGGATCGGATTTCCTAGCATAAACCAGCGTCATAATTATGCTGGCTTGCTCTTGATCATCTCCAGCTTCTGTCACTGTTTCATTAGGAACAAGGACACTGAAGTTTTGAGAGAAAATTTTAATAAATGCTTTCGTGCCTTTGTTGAGGACAGTCGTCAGTTTAAAAATAGGCATTTCATGCGCAAAGTGCACGGCCGTCTGTTCAGTGTGTACTCACTTCAGAAGTGAAGGTGCACATTTGAAACGTATGGTTAAGGGAAAAGTGCAGCTGCTTTGTGCTGATACCTCAAAATTGCATTATTCGTGGTACCTTAGGTCTACAGCAAATAAAACCTGGACTGAGGCATTATCTTGTCACAAAGGGAATAATATAACTGTTACAATTAATTGACGAAAATAAAAATTGCCAAACTTTTATTATTATTATATGATGAGTTAGCTTTAGTAGATAAAACCCCTAAGAAGGAAAATTATGGGACTTACGAGAAATAACATCTTTATTTTTGATTACCTTTTACATTAGGAAATACATCATGGAGAATAAAGATTAGTATTTTCTCAGAAATAATAGCTTTTAAGAATTCTTTCTAAACTTATTGATTCAATTCTCGGTTCTAAATGAAAAGGCCTAAGGTACCTGTATTTATTTCATTCCATTTTTAATGTTTTCATTTTTTCATGTTTATATGTTTTTACGTGTTTTATTTGCTTGTCGTCTTTGTTTGAAAAATGTCTGTCTGTGTTTAGGGTTTCAAACTTGCCAATCGCTTCCAGTGTTTGAATGCAAAATCAGTATTTCCTTTCTTTTTTTTTCGACGTTGTGCCAAATCCAACATGCCCGGTGTTTCCAGAAGCCTCAATACACAATGTCTGACGGGTTCTCAAACCTGTGGCCAGTGCCTTCAGGAATAATTTTCTTACGCTTTACAAAGACCCCGATTTTAAAACTGGCCTCTAACTATGTCCATAGACTTGATCACCTTTCTTGAGACTTATGTGTAATCAAAACATATTAAATGCAAAATACTGAAGAAAGTAACCATGCTTTTTTCTTTAGAAGCAACAGACTCATGAATATATATATAAGTTCGGTATTTTTTAATTATAATCAGTTAATTAATAAATGCAAGAAGCCTGGCTTCCTTCTAGAAGCACTTTATGTCTCGGGAAGACGCAGGCTACAGAGCTCAAATATGTAGCATTAAAAGCATAAAACCCACGGTAAGTCTTGTCTTAAAGCATAAATACTGAGGTATGCTCATTTAAAATCGGGCATTCAGCGTTACGGAAATTTTGGCTCTCGTCCTCCATGTGAAGTAGAACTAATTTAAGTAAATATTTATTTATCTATTATTAGATGTTGATCTGTATTTTATGTATTATTTGTACCATTCTTTAGTTCTTGTATAAAACAGCTTTATTTTTAAATAAACTTTCAATGAAAATTTCTTTGACTTATTTATTTATATCACACATCCACTGAAATTATATAAATTAATTTTGTTTAATAAAATCCATAATTTAGCTGAATACAATTTTTAGAAAACCAATACAATCTGTTTCAACTTTAACCCAATATGTCACAAATGTAGTTATTTCGATTAGATTCCATTTCCTGTTCCTTCTTTTAAACTAATATTAGTTTTCAAAGTGTGTTGACTTGTGAAGTTTCTCAAGGTTCGAGAGGAAAGTTCCATCACACGGTTTTAAAAATCTTTTCAAGAATACGTACAATATCATGTCAAATGCTGGTGTTGACAGTACTTTTGAGTACCGAGTAAAAAACGTACTACAAAGCTGTATGTAGAACATGCAATATAAATCAGTGCATTTTAATGCAGGGATAGATTAAATGTGTTTAACTTTTTTGTGAGCAAATGTAGAATGCAATATGTTACTTATCAGGAAGATCTTATAACGGAAGCAAGTAAATTAACATACTATTATTTGACAAATACGTAGTGGGTTTTTGCAGAAATCATGAGGTAATATTAATGTCACAGAGTACATTGCCATAATAAACGAAGATGAATTTTACGACGTTTATCATTACACATTCAGTGCTTTGATCGAGATATATAGCACACATTTTTTTGCTGAAAATTTAATGAATCCACTGACAACTTAGATTAATTAAATTGCTGTACAATTTAATTTATTCTTATTAATTTATTTTAATTATCTTTTAGAGTTTCGTAATATAGTCTAAAATTAAGCGAAAAAATTATCAGAAAATGTTTCTTTTCATTTTAATTAAATACTTATAGTAAATCATTTAAAGATTCTAACCCCCAGTTTCTGTAGAAAAATTTCAAAATAATCATAGTATTGATTTCTGGTCTTTGTAAGGGATAGCCATGGTTCATATAGGATATTATTTAATTCATATATACTAGGCATGCTTTCTGAAAATTTATTACATCTTTAGGGCTCATATCTGTGAATAAAGCCTGTTATACACACAAGAAATATTCCAATGAATATGCTGTCTTGTTAATGAATTCCATTCTTTCATATCTGATAATCTAAGATACAAGCTAGTGACAATGTAACAATGCAGTTTATTTATTTTTTTTTTTCAAGTAATAATTTTAGAAGGTGTTTTCTCCCTCCTTGTAGCATGCCTTTCTGGAGTAGCGGTAGCACAGCGCGTATACTCTTCGTATACGCACTGAGTGTGTTACCATTACCCTAGGAAGGCATGCTTCAGGTTCTGGTTCGAGTCCCGGCGAGGGTATTTCTCATTTTTCATGTCTTCTGCTTCAAAATAACCTAATGACTCTACTGTGGTGACCAAACTAAAAATGGTCGCTGGATTCTTCACCACCAGGATTTGGCAATTGGGTCCCCTAATCCTGCGTCGCCGTTTAAAAGGATAGCATATAAGATATTTTCTCCCACCTAGAAGCATGCTTTCGTGGTGTAACGGTAGCACACTCTGCGCGTATTCGAGAGGTCCAGATTCGAGTCCCGCCGAGGGCACACAATGACTCTACAATTTTAAACTTTTAGCATTTAGCTTCAAAGGACAAAAATGTGCATATGCAGAGGGTGTTTACACATTTTTAGAACAATTTCTACAAAGAATTAGAAAACAACGTTTTGGATTAAACCTTACTGGCAATGCTGCTTTTAAATTTATTCTTCTTCCAAAATGGCGCATGTAAATAAACTAAGCATTGCAGGATATGTTTCTGTATTTTCCGAAGAGAAACATTCCTGTTTCATAATTCAAAAACTTTTTGAAGTGTATGATATTAAAAATTTACATGCTATCCCTTTTATTAAATATCTTATATGCTATCCCTTTTCAACGGCGACGCAGGAGTAGGAGACCCAATTGCCAAATCCTGGTTGTGAAGAATCCAGCCACCATTTTTAGTTTGGTCACCACAGTAGAGTCATCGGGTTATTTTGAAGCAGAAGACATGAAAAATGAGAAATACCCTTGACGGGACTCGAACCAGAACCTTGAAGCATGCCTTCCTAGGGTAATGGTCACACACTCAGTGCAAAATAAGCAACATTATTAATCGGAAGGGGAAAAACCTCAGCCATTAATTCTATGTGACAGAAGACTTCAAATGAATATTTGTAAAGGCTATATACTATTTCAAATGCTTCTAAAGTTAAATCATTAGTAACAAGAAAAAAATCCCCCCCAACGCAGTAATTAATTGCAAAATTTTAAGTACATAAGTAAAATAATAAGGAAAGATTTACAACCCACAAAAGCTACAAAACACTGCCAAGGCATGTGGCTCAACGTAGAGCAATTTGTAGAACCCTGTATGAAACTATTTAATAAGGAATAAATGGAAATACATTGTGATCCTTAATGAAGCATGGGTTTACCTAGATGACTGCAACAAAAAAAAAAAAAAAAAAAAAAAAAAAAGTCTCAAAAACGAAAAGAAAACAAAATGTACAAACCTGGTTCCGGCACCGCAAAGAAAGTTTCAATAAGGCGATTATGATTGTCGCAGAATTCTCTTACAGTGGAAAATTTAAAATAAGTAGAGCGTAAAAAATGTTAAATTCAACTCCACCTACTGTCAAGAGAAAGTGTTACAGTGTTACGTACGATATTCATAAAAAAAATCCATTTCGTTAACCCTATAACTTTCAAAGAGTGAAACTTCATAAAGACAAAACAACAAGTCATACTTCAAAAGGTACCACTGCATTCCTTGAAAAAAATTAAGACTGATGCAAATATTGCACATATACATTCTCAATGCATTCCTGGGAAGTCCACTAACGTTTCATCTATGGACTATCGCGCGTCTGGTTTCTTGAAAAATCTGTTCTTTCTAAACGCACACTCACCAGATTGATGGACTCCGGAAAGTAGGAAATCAGAACTCTAGTAATTTTATGATTTTTTCGATCATGGAAATAACGATGTAAACTTATAGTCCAGAAAAAAAAGGCTATGAGATCGAATATTTAAAAAACAGTCTTCACATTTTAAACATAAATCGTTCGAAAAAATGTGTAAATACCCCTCTTCCCCTGTATTTGGATGCTTTTCATTATACAACAACACTCCAAATATCTACTAGAGGGATTTCGTTATATAAATGAGAATACCAGCACATATTTTTTTAAAACATTCAAAACAATTTCGTGAATAATATCTCTAGAAATACCGTATACATCACATTTTGATGGATTGAATAAAACATATAAGAATGTAGGAACAGAAACTTCAGAATGTATTTTTGATTTTTCAGGTGTGGCAAATAAATGTCTAAACCTTCTATAAATAAACTGATCAACACTTTCTCTTAACTTCTATGAATTCTTTCACACATACACACAAAATTAGTAAAAGTGCCTGTTTACAGGATTTAAATTCTCCCAAATTCAGTAAATACTTTTGAAAGTTACAAAACGTTATTTTCTTTTTCTCTACAAAATGAACACTAATTGCTAAATAGGAACAATACATTTGAGTATAAAATTTAAAGTTTTAATAACATTTTATTTTTTGAAACTACTCCATTTGTATGAGCATAAAGATTCTGCGCGTCTCTTGCATTAAATATTCAAATAAAAGCAAATATAATGCAAATAAAGGCAAACGAAATTCGCTTTGTCGCAATGAGTTTTCCATACGAATATGCAGAGGGATTTATCAAATTAACAGAAACACCTATCAGTATAAGCGATTTTATGAAAGTGATCTTTATTCATGAACCAGTTTTAAACTACACCAGTACAAATACCAGTTTTAAACTACAGGTATCGCATGTTTTCTCTCCAGTGTAAAATAAAAGACATTCAGACTTCATGCTGTTTATTTAGATCTTTACAAACCGACATGATCCCTGTCAGCTGGGAAGTCACCCTGTTCGATTTAGTGGTTACCCAAGTATGCTAACGTACCTATGCATCCAAGTTTAAATCTTGGAGAAGTCATACATGTTTGTAGGTGTAAAACGTTTGGGCGGCATGGGGGTACTTAAAATGCAAATGAATCAAAAGCTAACTCGGGTGGTTTGTAGCTTGACAAAGACAGCTGGGGGATGCTCCGATCCGTCCCCTGGTTGCTCTCTGTCAAACTTGAGCCAGAGCTGTACAGTTAATTCGGTGTTATAATGCCTGTACAGCCAACGGAGGAATTCTAGTGTCCCGCACCCTTCTTCCCGTCCTGTCTTCTCAGCTGAGAAGAATACTACTGAAATAAAGACATGGAAAACTCAAGAGAAGCAAATGTAGCGAAAATATAAGAAAGTATTGGGTTGGTTTTCTTAAAGATAAAGATTATATTGAAGAGAATGAAAGTGTACGACTTGTGCTATTTCGTACATGAAGAAAGCAAAGCGAATCTAGAAAAGAAAATTGTATATATCGTAAATATGAAAGTTCAGGTTACAGAGAGAAAATTTGATAAAGAGTCAGTGAAATCAAAAATATGCAAATCAAAAGCACTATCATCAAATCAAAAAGCACTCTCAAAAATCGCCTGATAGATGGTCTGAATAAGAAATTCAGAATTCATAAATGAAAATTCTTCAACTTTTTTTTTCGGCTTCTGATGTTTAGTCACGTCTCAGCTTAGTCACGACCCACTGTTAAACGTTCACCATATGATGGAAAAATCATTATGTAGCGGGCATTTGAAACGATACATTTTAATAGAAAATAATTTCTGAGGCAAGCCAATGAATTCGACTTTCGACACCTTACATCTTATTGCCTTGATGCAAGGGGGAAAATGCAGGCATATGTGAAGACTTTATAGTTGTAATTCGTCTATAAATTTCAGCTAAAGCTGCTCCCAAAAGAAGGGGGGGAGAGTCACTTCAAAAGCTCACGAATTTTATATGGGACTCACCCTGCTCTAAAATTCAGAGCTATTTTATTATTTTCGTACTTTATCTAAGGTATAATTTAAGCGAATACTGAGCAAATAATCTGAACGTAGACAATAAGAATCTAA